TTCAATACGTTGAAGTCCCCGATCAATCCGTACCTTCCTCCTTTGACAACATCCTCACCGGCGCCAAGGCGATAATCCACAACGCAACCATCGACCCGCTGGCTCCCGCCGCCGCTGCCGAGGTGCCCGAGAAGCTAATCACACCTGTGGTCGATCTGGCCAGCGCGATATTCTTGGCGGCACTGGAGGTGCCGAGTATCGAGCGGTTTGTGTACGTGGGATCTTCAGTCTCGGTGGTCAATGGGGAGATCCTTGACGGGAGGAAGTTTACGGAGGAGGATTGGACTGGGATTACGGTTGAGGATGCTGTTCGAGCGGGGGGTGGCTGGCTGGCATACACCGTTGCTAAGACCTCGGCCGAGAAGAAGATTTGGGAGCTGACGGAGGAGAGGAAGCCGCGGTTTGAGGTTGTGGTTTTGAATCCACCTGGTATGAATATCTTGATTTTATCCGATTTTTTAATGCAATGATGCTGATGCGAAGGCAGAGATTATCGGCAAAAGCTTGCACGAAGTCAAGGAGGCCAAGAGCATTAGTGGGATCGGAACGAAGGGCCTCAAGAGCCTTATTGATGGAAAAGAGCCCACAGGGATTAGTCCTGCAACGTATGGCAACTTCATGTATGCTCCTCGCGCTTTCTCCCGAGTGATCGTACATGACTAACAGATACGCCAGCAACGTGATCAACGTCGCCAAAGCCTTCCACGCAGCCATCTCTGCGCCACTCGAACACACCGGAAAGGTGCATCGTTACTTGATTGCTGATGGCACTTATTCATCTCACGCTGTTATACCTGCCTTGTTGAGGCGTTATCCTCAGTTGGAGGGGCGTCTACCGACTCCAGATCCTACGAAAATCAATGAGATGGAGAGGCAAAGGGGATTTGATACCTCAAAGGCGAAGGAAGAGCTTGGGTTGGCGTTGGACACGCCGTGGGAGCAGACTATCATCGAGGAGCTTTTTGGGGACTATTTGGCTTTTCTGGAGGGGAGCTATGTTAACTAGTCTTTCGAAGAGTCGCTGGAGAGGATCTTGGCTTACGGGGGTGAGCGTAAATGGAATTGGCGATAGGGCTACCCGTGTAGATTGATTTCCTTTCGATGCGGTCATAACGCCGCTCCTTTACTGGCGTGCGCGTTCATCGTATATTCTTGAGGGATTTTGTCACACATGGCAGAAAGATGCTCGAACACATATTTTCAACGATTTTGGGAATAGCATTCTATTTCTATTGTCTACGGTGAAGTACCGAAGAGCCTAAAATCCCGATATTAGCGCGCATTCCGCCAGGCAATGTTCAAAAGCTAGTTCAACACCCCGGATATTCTCAGAAAAGCCAGTATACTCCCCCCCAAGCCCCATCGCCACCATCACATCCGAGCCTCCCAATAACTGGGTGACCCATCCGCTTCGGTATTGACATAAGCCCTCTTGGATCCCACCCCCGCAATCCCTCACCGGCCGTCCTCCTCACCTCAATCTGCCTTGAGCGGGGCCCTTGAGCGGGACCACGCTGCTAGAAGAAGGATGAGTCGAGCTAGATAGAGGAAAACGGGAGGGGAAGAGGGCGGGCTGGATAACTCGTTGAATGGATTGACTGTTGTCATCATAAAAGAGGGCGCTACAGCTGTGAAGGAAGGAAAAGGCGTATTTACCTGGAGCCTGCGATATCTTGTGTAAGCTAAATCAATGGCAGAAGTAGGGAGTGGGCGTAATAGAATGGGTAAAAGGCATGTTCAGAAAGGTTTTGGTAATTTTGTTCTCCTCAATAGAGTTCAGAAGCAGAACTGTTTGGTTTCATCTTGAACGCCGGGGGGTAACGAAGGAGAGAATGACGAACTTACGATTCAATCCTTTTGGCGAGTACGGTGGTGGGAGGTCTGTTTTATTGACTAGGGAGCCGAGTCAGTAGATTGATCCCCGATTGCCATGGGGGGTAGCTGTATTGACGAAATAAAGGGATAGATCAGATGGTAGTGCATGTTTGTTTAATGGATCATGAAATTTCTCCGAAACAAATGTGATAAGATTTCCTCATACCGGGGAGGGGAGGGACGAAGGACATGGAAGGGAGATGGGAAACATACGTTAGCGGAGCGCCGTGTGACAGAATTGAGAGTCGGGGCAAGCGTTATGGACGAAGTTGGGGGTGAGTGGTAGATGTGTAGGAGAAACTCGATGGAGAAAAAATCGAGAGGGGAGGTTGGATGATAAGTCTTGGCAAAGACCTGTGTGAGGGTCAAGCCCTATCGTGATTATTCATTGGGCTCCTATTTTAGACACGAGCTCGCTCCGAGCCCCGGCTTATGTACACAGGCGAGAGTTGGAGAGTTCAGTAAAGATCGGTGCACTCGTTCAAAAGGAGAGAGATATTGGAGGCTTCAAGGCCACTGATTTGATCTCTATTTTTCTGGAATTGAGTACCGGCATTTCTGCGCTCAACCTACTCGAACACTCGCCTGTACTGGTTATGGCAGCCTCAATGCTACCGGTCTCGTACTGTAAACCTACCGTACTGCGTGGCGTACCAGTGGGCAACAGGAAGGCGGTAACTTATCACCTCAATCGTTGTTCATATGTTGGGGGTGGGAGAGATCTTGAGGTCTTCCTTTACTCCTACTGGTACTCGAGCATGATATTTGATAGCCTTGGAAGGTTCCCGATCCGGGGCTTTTGTTTTTCCTTGCCATCCGTCCGGCCGTTGTGTGGGCTGGAGGTAGGGCCATGCGGGCCTTACGCTTATTTAACCTTATCCTTGACCAGATTTATTTTTTAGCTACCGTAATAGCTTGTTGAACAGGCGGTTGGGGGTATCATAGTTTAAGCACTCGGGAACGGCGGATCTCCTCTGATTGACTGCTGACTTGATCAGCCGATCCAAATGTCGAATCTTGAGCAGCTGTGGCAAGGGTTCGCTAAACTTTAATCCACATCGAGGTTTGGAGCGAAAATCGACCTTTTCTTTGGTTTAACAGGTGACCTAGGCTTACTCCCCTAAGTTAGTTCGCTCTCTCTCTCTCTTCTCACCAAACCCGGCTGAGCTGACAAGAGCTATGCACAGTACAGGTACTAGTGTTCCAGGGGTGGGGGGGATAGGAACGTCCAACTTCAGTGATTCGATACTACTATCAGCAAGCGTGATATTTGGAATTGCGCTCACAGGGGCTGTAGCTATTGGAGAGAGTTGGTCTGTTCAACTCAAATCAGTGAAGACAAGAATGTCTCTGATACCGTATGAACTTGAATAAGAGCAACACCGCTCGGGACGTCTAGGTTTCCCCTCTTGGTAACGCGTGGTTTTATTTTGCTGGTATTTCCTCCCGTCTCTACCAAAATAGGCAAGTCAGATGTTCTGAGATGTGTTGCTCTTATTTAAGTTAATACGGTAGTGGGGTTCCAGCATGATAATGTTAAGTGACTGACTAACCTCCCATTTCCTAACACGCCTGTCGTAAATACCCTACTATATATGAACGGAGGGCCGTGGCGCTGGATAATCCTATTTATACCGAAAACGAGTTTGCTCGTAGCTTCTTTATTCCTTGAAGACGATCTTGTATTGGCTGGAACCATAATAGGGTTAGGCCTGCGTAGCCGGTGTATCGTAGATGATGGGTACTGGCATTGTAAAGTGCTTCGTATCACTGGTAGATGGGTTATTAAACTATATGATCGGATCGCACTCTTGGGAAAGTTGAACAGGACTAATAGCACCTAGCTCTAAGAAATCTGGAAATCCTGCAGGGCGCTTTTTTTAGTCTTCATTTTTCCCTGAGTTACTCGAGCAGAGATATCTGATGATTCTCTCTTTCCTCCCTCTGGTTCCCTTTATTCCCCTTCCATTCTCCCCAGCTTGCTAGGGATGCCTGCGGGGTGTAGGGTTAGGGTGGAAGGGAGGATTAGATGTGACAAGTTTGGGACTGTGGAGTGCGAATGGTGGACGTGCGGTAATATGTTTCGGCCCTTGGTGTTTTGTTATGGTGCTATGATAATTATAGAGTCTAATGAGACAACAATTATCAGGACTTAAGCTTATACCTAATCCTATCAAGTTTCTGTAGAATCCTGAGTTTGGACCATACTTTATATTTAAAAAACCAACTTGAATACTTAGAACTTTCTCATAGATTTCTCCAGCAGCCGTATAATATACAATCTTGGGAATAAAATATTGAATTTTTAAAAACTCTTTCTATAATATTCCTGAATCTATTTTATTTCATATTGTTTTTATATCTTTTAGTTATATAATAGTTCTTCATTTTCTTACATACTACTCAGTCTTATCCTTGTCCTAGTCCTAGAGAATATTGTATCATACTTTTTTTTAAAAAATTAGTGACTATGATTTTTAGCACTTTTGCCCTTACCCTCTTTATAGTTTTTTTTCATTGCAACTGTTTCAGCTGTTTTGAGGACTGCCCTGCAATATTCTAATATACTTTTAATAACAATTTCCCATCTATTACAAATAAAGATCAAGGATTATAGTCTTAGTAATTGTAATATATCAGCAAGGCTTAGTGATTTTGAAAAAAAATTTAACCCTTTTTTTACAAAAATTACATTACAGTATACAGTGTTTAGATATATATATTTATTTTGTAGTTGCCCAAATAGATATCTGTATTTCTGAAATATGCTATAAATTTATTTTATCATAATTATATACCATTTAGAATTTTTATTGTGTATTTCTACTGTAACCCACCAAACAGGGCCTAAATTTGATCCTTTTTTCTCTTGGTTCACCCTAACCCTGTCTAATGCCTTCCTGTTCAAACTTATCGGGCAGGGGGTCTTATGTTTCCTTATATTGCCCGTACCCTAAGCAAATCTTTTCCGTTCCAACGGTTCCGGCTAGTTTTCCGCATGACCATGGAATATATATCTAGATTACTGCGCCGGTACTTGTATGATGGCGCAATTGAGAGATCTGTAAAAAATTGCCGCTTGTTGTCGTAATAGACGACAGTGTCGATCACGGTGTGGCAGCGCTCTATCCCCATGACCCAGCGTGTACTGTGCTGGCATTTGGCTGACTGATAAATCAGTGCCTCCAGCTTGATCTACTCTCCTATTTTGATACTAACGACGATCCAATCATCGCGGGTAGTCGGCACATCGGGATTCAACTGCAATCCCCAACCGGCTGCCCCCCCTTCCCCGCACCATTATCGCTTAATGTTGTGATACGTGCAAGACATCCTGTGGCACTGTGCTTGTATACTACCGACGCTCGAGTACCGTAAATTTATGAGAAGAGATGCTGCCGAAAGTGGTTGAACAAGAAAATTTCTCCCTCCGTTCTCGCCTCGAATAGGCATTTTTCCCGCTCGAGTAAACTTACTGGGAGGGTGCATCGAGTCCAACTTTAAACCCCGATGGATACCGCACGGACAAGAGAGGAGTGCTGTTCACTCTCCCGAGTACGAATCCAGTTGTTGGCAGCTGGCCGGATCGCTGCTGCTCAGTCGGGATTTATTCAGCTACGGAGAGTGCCGGATGCGGGTGCCGGTATGTCAAGGTTCTATCATAGCTGAACATACGTACCGTCCAGCGTGGATCATGGGCTAACCTTTGACGGGTCGTCTTCGTGCTTTCATTGACGATAGGAGGCTAGATTAGTTATGTTGCATTACATAGAATAGCACTCCGAAGTATGAATTTCTTGCAATATGTCCCGTGCCGTGTGGTGGGGTGGGGTGAGGAGAAAAGAAAGGGAAAACCTTTTCTTCATATCATTTAAAAAGCCTCCCCTTACGCTGGCCGGAATAGGGATGAACTCCAGACTTCTGAATTAACACCCTGAAATGGAGCTACTCAAGTTTTTACTTCATATCGTTCGGACCTTTGGCCTTCTGGGCCATGAAAGCGGCGACCTCGACCAGGAGATACTGGACGCCGGCGGCCTCCTACCCGACTTGCCTAGCATTGGGGGGGCAAACGCGCTGGTTCCTTCCGCCAACTTTGAGTGTCCGAATTATAGTCCTGGAGGAATCGAGGAGAACCTAACCTCTTGCAATACCCCTAGCGATCGGTCGTGCTGGTTCGAGCCAAATGAGTGGTGGGCCCCATCGGGTTACGGCATCAATACTGATTACGAGTTTAGTTGGCCGGATGGGACGCATAGAGAGGTATTTATCAACTCTGCTCTATTTCCCCCGGCCTGGTGAGCGGTGTCAATTAACCAAGCAGGATTTAGTACTGGCTTGAGGTCACTGACGGCACGACTTCTCCTGATGGATATCTTAAAACCAAGGCGAAATTAGTCAACGGGACGTATCCGGGACCGCTTCTCGAGGCATGTTGGGGTGATCAACTTAGTAAGTTGGCCCATGCTATTAGGAGACAAGGTTTCCGGGCGGAATTATGATACTAACTGGGATTAAGCCATCCATGTTACCAATAAGATGACGGATAACGGCACTACTATTCATTGGCATGGGTTCCGGCAGTGGAACAGCAGTGAAGCTGATGGTGTGAATGCAAGTGATACCCTGTGAACAAATATCTATCCTCTGGTATGATACGATTAGCTAACCGACAATCGCAGGGTGTCACCCAATGCCCAATTGCCGTAAGTTTACCTGAAGTCCCTTCTGTAAGGTGCCGTAGTGCTTGAGGCTCACAATTCTTACAGCCCGGGAGCACCTACACGTACAAATTCCGTGCAACGGAGTATGGACACACATGGTATCACAGGTAGGGTCGATATCGGAGTGGTTCGTTTGAAGGGTCAAAGTTTGTTCTAATGCCCTTAGCCATTACTCTCTTCAATATCCCGATGGAGTCCTTGGTAGGCAATTGCTTCACCCTGCTCTGATATCCTATCCTGACATCGGTCAATCTAGGTCCAATAATCATTCACGGTCCTCAAAGTGCAAACTACGATGAAGATGTCGGCACTGTTCTCATCAGCGACTGGTCGCATGAGACAGCCTTCATTGACTTCTTCAAAGAGCTCACTGATGGACCCCCGCCAATGCAGAGCAATCTTCTCCAAGGAAGAGGTATGTGCACACCACGCTGAAACGTGCCTAGCATGACAAACTGACTCCTCATAGGCCGATTCCCTTGTGTCCAGGGAGACCCCAGATGTGTTGGGGCTCCTGCCAATTACTACGAGCTCAAGTTTGAAAAAGGGAAGAAGTACTTATTAAGGTTGATCAATACATCCACCGCATCGCAGTTCAAGTTCTCAATTGACAACCATAATCTCACGGTTGTTTCTGCGGATTTTGTGCCTATACAACCCTATCAGACCCAGTATTTGAACATCGGTATTGGTGAGCATCATCTATCTGTTAGCTACTAATTCCGGTAATGCCGGATAAATAACGACTTTCTTGCTTCGTATCTTAGGCCAGAGATATAGCGTAATTGTCGAAGCGAACCCCTCCGGCACAGATGAATCTGTAAACATGGACTACTGGATTCGAACAAGTAACCCTCCCCTCCTCCCCATTTGTATGCATGGCTAAAAGCCCTCAAGTCCCTGCAGTGGGCTGTAACAGCATCCAATTCCCCGTAGTGCGAACCGGTATCGTTCGGTACTTCACCAACTCCTCATACGCCCTCCCTGTATCTACCTTCTGGAAAACACAGGTTAATCAAACGGCTGAGCTTGATGACTGCGATGACGAAGATATGAAAAACCTCGTACCGGTCGTGCCAAAAAGTTTGAATCCCGGGGATTACGCGAATAACTATACCTCCGATACTTATGAAGTTGGCATGACCGAGCCGACAACCCAGAATCCCATGCCCCATGGTAACTATAGCCGATGGGACATTGCCATGCTCCCTATGTACGTTTTTTCTTGGCTGGCTCGTGGGGGTCGTTCGTTCCTTTTCTAAGAATAGGAGCTGACGTGCGCGATATTACTCACCTAGGTGGTTGGAATGGGGAAACCCAATAATCCTGAATCTTGACAAGAACGTTAGCACTCTGAGTCCGGAGTTGGCGATTGTTCCCGAGGATTATCAGAATGCGGTATGTTCACTGCACCTGTCCCCAAGAGTGTTTTTTTGTTTTTTTCCTTTAGAAAAGAGATGAGTTGTTCAAACAACTGACCGAAATCTTTGTGGATAGTGGATCGTCCTAGTTATTGTCGGTGAGTTTGAAACACCTGTCATTGGGCAACATTATAACCCCTTTGCGATACTGACATATCTCAGGCAACTTAACGCTCCCGTCCGGACACAACGTTGGAAAGCAGTCAATTCCTACCAGGCACCCTATCCATGTCAGTCTTATCCCCAAACACCTCCACCTCTTCCCCCTATTCACTAACAAACGTGTAACCTGCGAATAGCTTCACGGCCATGACTTCGTCCTCTTGGCCCAAAACGATACGGAATGGGACACCCCGACCTGGACCGCTGCCGACGCCTTCAACAACATGAACTACAATAACCCCCCTCGCCGTGACGTCGCCCTCCTGCCAAAGGAAGGGTACATCGTTATCGCTTTCAAAACCGATAATCCGGGCCCATGGGTTAGTTCAATAATATCTCCTCCCGTATACCCCCTAAAGACATGACTGATGCTTTTCATTATTCGCCAGCTTATCCATTGCCACATCGCTTGGCACGCTAGCAGTGGCCTCGCAATGCAGATTATGGAAGACCAGGAGAACATTGAAAGGACAATTAAGGACAAGCAGGCTATTCAGGATACGTGCGATGCGTGGAATACATGGAATGCTACTATGAACGTGGAACAAGATGATTCCGGGATTTAGAGGAAACAGCTTATTCTCTATGCCTTGCGGTGTGGAGGATTGCTTGAGTAGTGTGGTTTCGGATGGCTGTTTTTTTTTTCCCCTCCAAAAATGAAAATGAAATAAAAATAGTGGAAGGGTGTATGATCTTCACCGGGCGCTCACTTTTTGATTTCTGTAGCACTATTGCATGGAATTTGTGTGATAACTCTGGCTCGGAAAGGAGGCGGTTGTTCTCCTGAGCTAACAATCACCATCACCGAACATCACTCAAAGCCTCTAGATCTAGATGCGCTCAAAATTGAACTCGCTGGTAATCTCGAACGATACTCGTGATGCCCAACTGTGTAGTAGGGTACAATTTCCTTTAATAGAATTCCCGTGAGTCGGTCAGAATGTTGAAGAACTCCTCTTATAATGGCCCGTTTGGATACGACTGTTCCGTCCCCGTTACCCCATATCACAAATAACTATTGCCTCCCGTTGCAAAAATTCCGAGACAACCGTTTCTACGGTACAGGTGTGACAAATCGTCACAAGACGGAGCACTTGTTCTTCTTTCCTTCCTTCCGTTTTTGTCAAATAGACCCTAAGTTTTTTTTTAGTCTTTTATCAATGTTATGCCATTCAGGCCTAAATTCCCACCGCATCCGCTATCCCGGCCATGATATGATTATGCCTTAACGCTCGGAGTGAACTTACCGCTACCAATCACTGGTATACTTCTATATTATCCCCTCTCTCCTCTTGAGAAATGTATCTGCTCCGGCGGACAATCGATTAATGGGAACAAACCGTTTTGTTACCTTTAACTTTAGCTTGAGGGGGCGGGTGGAGGAAAGGGGGGAAAAAAGAGTGAGAAGTGCGGGGGGACAACCATTCGTTCCCTCGAAAATATTCTGTGAAATACTTATCTATCGAGGTGTCGTGGCTAATGTGTCAAGGGATCGGTTGCCCTTTAAGTTAGGCTGCTGTAATGCTTAAAGATCAAGTTCGGTTTTCCCGGTCAAGATTGGTTAAGGAATATAGGATGAAGTAAATGGGGGCCCTCTGTGTGTGTGTGTCATCATGATTTCATTCTACTACATACCGACTAAACAGTTATCGGTTTACGGCATGGGATACTCCCCCCAGCACTCAGGCCCCCTTTATAAGGAAATTTCCCCCACCCCGCCCGTTGCCTATCCGATAATCATAAACAAAAGAGATCCCCTGACTCAAAGAAACCCATCTCTACCTTTCTAGCCTGATGGTCGTGAACAAAAAAAATTACCCCTGACACTAGGAAACCCACCCCTGCCCCCTCAGCCAGGCAGTCATGGATACTAGAAAATACTACTTGTTGGGTGGGTCTTGCTCCTCCTACCTCCTGGGCCTCCTGCTTCTTGGTCTCCCCCTTTGTCTTGCCCCTTCCTTCTTTGGAGGTCATGTGTGCTGGCATGTGCCTCCTGATGGACCTGGTCCCTTTGGGTGAGGGCCCCACAGACTGTGCATAGCTTCATGGAGCATTTCTTCCACCCTTGGGGTCTCTTTCTAGTTGTGATACAGGGAGGTTGGCCACTGCCCCCACCCACCTATGTCCTCCTGAGCATACCCAGGTGTCTTGCATTTGACTGGTTTCTCAGGGCTCCTCGCCAACCTTTCATCCAGTCTAGGAGCTTCCTCTATTTCTTATTTGAGGATAGTGGGACTATTGTGGGTTTCACTACCCCACAGAAGTTCATCAGGTGGTTTGGTGTTATGGTGTCTCACCCACATGGGCATGGCCACCTTTTACAATCCGCTTCTTGGTAGGACTAGCTGGAGGTAGCTTGGAGGTAAAGCAGGTCTCTGAACTCGGGTCTTGTGATCTCTTAAAGATGCTTTGGAGTAGCAGATGTTCTTGCTAGAGAGTAATATACTAGCTATTTCCTACGCTAGTGTCTTCAGAGTTTCTGCCTTTTTCTAAGGCTATATGAGTGTTGGTAGTCTCTGGAAGGTAGAATAATAAGGGTAGCTCTGAGTTGAACTTTTTTTTTGAATGTCCTCTGCAGTAGGAAATAAGGAAGCTGAGATTTAAGAGACCATTATAGTGCTCTCTACTAATACATGAAACCTGGAGACCACTGCTACTAATTATACTAGTATCTTTATATCTGTATTGTCTACTGAGTTATTACCAAATACTCTTGCCAGGATGATTTCTTAAGTTTAGAAGAAGGCCAGGTACATCTATAAAGAGCCTACTGAGAGAGTTGTGGATGTTTACAAAGCATATCATACAACAGCCCGACTATTCTGAAAAGGGTTGATATTATGGAGTTTAGGGTAGTCCTGATTGGGGACCTAGATGGGAGAAAACTAGGAGAGTTTCTGGGACCCTCTAGTAGAGACAGTTTGATTCAAAAATGAGCTATAATAGGTTTACAAGACAGTATTCTGACATACACCTTGTTTTCCTAATCATTTGGAAGCCTTAGGTTGGTAGCCTTTGATTGGCTGTCCTACCTAAGGAGGGGGTATATAGAGAGTAAGGGTGGAGTCGAATGAGAAGTGAAAAAACTGGTTGTACTGGGAGGGAAGGTGAGGTATCAGGTTCTTGGAAGTGATTTGGTGTGGGAGCATGATTCCCACTTTGATGTACCATATTTCTCTTTCTTTCTCTCTCTGTGTGTGCGTGCCCATGGGGGAACTGGGGGGATTCAAAGACATTGAATTTTCCTTTCCTCTCCCCGATGAAGTCGTGGGGAAACTCAATCCTGTTATCATACTGTGTTGTGTTTTATTTAGAATCTCCCGCGGGATTATGTATGGTAGAAACGATAGAGATGGAAATGTGAATTGGAAAAAAAAAAGCAGTTGAATGTTTGGGAAGGGAAGGGAAATGAGAATTAGAACACAAAATCCTGAATGGCATCCAGATTCTCTAATTTTGAGTGTGGCCAGGTGCTCCCGGGTCACTGTTTTTTTTTCGTCCTGCAAGCTTGATATAGATGTTTATCGCGCATTGGTTGCTCAAGGCTCATTCATGTTCAGTCAATAAACGGTGATGGAAAAGCTGGGTTTGGCAGTTCGCAAGCCAACTCGGAAAGGATAACGAATTAGAGTTGGGTAGCCGAAGGTCAGGTACAGTACTAAGCATCGGGAAGTGCGGGATTGAGGGGCACTGTACAGTACTACACTATTCATGGCCATCGGAATATTGATACCATTGATGGGCTATGTCCCACTTTCCAGTCGGGCTTCGCGGGTAATGATAGATGCCCCCTGTAGTACCTCTCCACCTCTAACTTCCATAGTAGTATGATCCCACGTAGTGACACTGCTGTCCAATTGACATCGCCTTGGAGAGGCGCTTTGTAGTTGCTGCTGCATCTGCTTGATTGTAAAGCTTTTACCAAAATGGATTCTGTGACACCAACACCAAGATTCTAGCGCATGTTAATTCTCGGGTGCGTGCAGGCTCTGGAATTGGGAGGTGTTTCTGGGGAAGGGGACGCCGACAGAGTCCGTCCATGTGCAGTATGATACTAAACAGACAGGACCTCGGTGGGTGCTGCGGAAGCTCGAGAGTACTAAGCTTAGTGGGAGCTCGTGCAGGGGTTACATCTGCGGGGCTTGCGCATAGGGTTGGTGAGCTGGAGAGAAGAAAGGGGAGAAAGAGAGGGGGGGATAAAGTCTGGTGTTTGCTGTCCTCTAGTTTTTGAAGGGATTGAGAAGAGATATGCTGGTAGGAGTGGATTTTTGTTCCTCCTTGTCTGTAGATGTTTCTTTGAGTGGATTTGATCCGGGGGATGGGTGCATGGTTCGGCGAGGTGGGCAATTGAAGAGGGGCCAATCAACAGGCGAATGTAAGGTACAACACAAAATGCACGGGCACAAGAGCTAGCAATGAGAGTTCAGAAAACCAAGAAGGATATAGGAAAAAAGAAAACAAAGAAAAAAGGAAACCCAGTTCATAGCCATCTCTGGTAAAGAAACTTTTTGTTATGATACGGTAAAAAGGTGTGCGTCTAGACAGCTACCCCCACTTACCCCCTAAACTCTACTGACCCCCTCGGGAAAACCCTCTTATAAAGACCTGCATTCCCATTAGCTCCAAATTCCACCACCCAACCACCATCGAAGAGGAAGAGGAAACTTACTTATAGCAACAGCATCCTGTGGGTTAATCCTCCCATCAAACGTAGCCTTAAAATACCCATGCGTCCCCAAACTTTCCTTGATAAATCCACTCCTCCCGCGCTTCGTGAACAGCGGCAGCGCCTTAAACCACGCCACATCCTCAGCGTTGAAGAACATGTACCGCACCGTGACCAACTTTTTGTGGATCTTGGAGGGGTGGCCGGTCAGGACTATGCGCTTTGCGATTATACGGCTTTGATCAGCTGATAGGAAGCTACCTGTTCCTACCAGGTTCCACACTTCGGAGGCTTCAGGGCGTTGGAAGTAGATTACTGGAGCGTTTCCCCAGAGCAGGGGGCCGACGAATGTTGCGATTGAAGTTCGACCGGGGACCAGGAAGCGTTCGAACTTTGTTACCTTGTTTCTACCTGCGGCATTAGATTGGCTGTAGAGTGGGGATGCGAGGAGGCGACGGGGGCCGACTTGCACCAAAATTTGGTCTTTGGATTTTATGGGGGTGGCGAGGCTTGAAGAGGGGGTTATTGAGAGGTTTACAACGGCTTGTTTGTGTTCGTGTCTTAGGAGGGAGAATATCGTGAGTGGTTTGTTGGTGGTAGGGGGGTCGGCGTGGTTGGCGAGGTTGGCGGGGCCGTTTCGGATGTAGATTTGGACTTTTGTGCCCGCGGGAACGCCGCCGACAAGGGCTTCGCGGGTGAGTTTGTTTTTGGCGGATTTGTAGTCTGTGACCTTCGCCAGGCGGTCCCAGTCTGCGGGTTGGAAGGGGCGGTCTTCTTCTGCTTCCCAGGTGGAAGTGCGGAGAGACTTTAACCCTCTATATCGGCTAAGACGCTCGCGGGCAAGCACATTTGGATGGAGCTCTATCTCGTCAGGGAATTCTTGATCTTCAGCTGATTCAGTCACCCGGGACTTGCGGAATTCTGCAATTTGCTGGAGTTCTTGCTCCGGTGCAGGGTCCAGGAACATCTCGGATTCTGCATCGTCGCCAAAACCGGTGCCGGCTTCTGTCATTGCCGGTTGTGCCAGGCCTTCCTCGCCGTCCTCAGGACGGGCGGAGGGCTCATCAAAGGTCATATTCATGTCTTCATCGTTGTCTTCCACCCCTGAGTCTTCGCTGTCAATATCGTCGTCTAGTATCCAAGCGGCTTGGTAGGCAGATGTTCCCTTGGGGAGTTTTCTTGGATGGCTTGGGGTGGCGGCGGCGGGTTCGTCAACTTCGTCGTCGAAATAATGGTGGCCATCTAAGAGGACTCCCTTGCGGGATGTAGTGGCTATTGATGTAGGGGCTTCAGATATGGCGTCTGGTATGTCGGTATCTGACATGTGGGCCACTTCTGGAGCAAGGTCTGCTAGGTCATCTTGTGATGCTGTGGGAGCGTCGAGGACTTTGGGGCCAGGGGTGTCGGTGTCTATGGCCATTGCATCTACAGGCTTTGTGGGGTCGGGGTATTCACAGATCTAGAATAGCTTAGTTGTCTGTTTGATAATTGGAAGAATTGGCGGAGTTTCTCTGACCTTTTCAATCTGGAAATCCCCGTGCCCCGGAATATGTACTAGTCTATCTGATTTCAGGCCTTTCCCACGGACTACACCACCGATTACGAGACCTTCGTCCTCATTCCATCGCACATCGTCGGCAAGTAGATAACTCCTTGCATCTCTCCAGTGAACACCTTTTGGAGTTGACGTGCAAAGTGTACGGATGATGTTTGATGACTCCTGTTCAGACTCGAGGGCGTAAACTTTGCTTAACGTAGGGAAGAAATGTGAAATATAGCTAAGGAGAGATTTCTTGACATCCGGTCGCCGTTTGGCTGGCTCGATAGTTTCAAGGTGCTAGAATTATTAGTGCAGGTCCTATCTTTTAGAGTGTCATAGAGCTGCTACCTGAACTACCGAGATGGTGTTTGAGATTCCCTGCCCTTCAATGCTGCGTAAAAGGAGATCTCCGTGCTCATCGACCTCTTGCTTGGCGGAGAGTACTAATACTACAAAGTCTGCCACTTTACAAGCATCCAGCACTGAGAGCAATTCTCGGCTCACCACAATCCACTGTATCTTCTGCTTGAACCTCTCAATTCTAACTTCATTAGCCTAAGCATTTCCCCCCAGTGGAAAATGGGCACACATACCCAGTTGTGATCATCCCAACTTCCGGAATATCACCTTCCACCTCCTTCAATTGCCTAATCGCAGCTTGCGCATCCCCATCTTCACACAAGGGCACCACCACAACAATTCTCGGAGCACCCTTCCGCCCATCAAATATTTTGGTCCCACGGATGAGATCTTTGTGCTTATTTTGCGCTATTTGGCGGTTTTTATTTCTGCGATCCATTTTCGACATCATTTGCTGGTGGGGACTCTTCCGGTTGAAGGTATCTGGCTCATCGACTTTGCCTATATATAATTTTAGCTTGGTTTACATGCGGTTTGCACGGCCATAGGCAAATTACCTTTATTCTTAGTTTTTAGAGAAGATTTTGTCGCATGTCGACTCTTGAAAGATTTGTGGGATTGTTTCGTAGTGGACCTGTGATGATGTACAGCGGAGGCACTCATAATTGTGATTTATACTTGAATAGAAATTTCCTTAAAATATTAATATCTTCGTTTCAACAGCCGCCCTTAATTGGTTTCTGTAGTTGGTCTTTTTAGTAGATATTGTTCTGGTAAAGGACAGTTGTGAGTAGGTGTGGGGGAAATGCTCAGCAGTCCCACTTTCTACGTGAAACTTTCTTATCTGTGGTTCAGGCAAAATGAGGGTTACCCGGTCGCTTGCTGCATGTTGAAATTTCAAGGTCTTGGCGAGATCCCCATTCACTTATTTTCACATTCAAACCCTTTTTCTTTACTCCATGAGCAATGCCTGAATCTCAACTTAAACGCTTAAAGGCATCGCTACGGACTGCGGGTATAACCGGCCAGCAGAAGTCAAAGAAAGCAGCCAAGAAACAGAGGCAATCGACTACTATACACAATTCTAGACTTGATCGGAATGCTACGTTACAGACAATTCGGGAGGAGTTCAATCCTTTCGAGATTAAGACGACTCGGGAGAAACATGCGGTGATTGGGAGGGGAAAAGCTAAGGGCGCGCAAGGGCGGCCCGGCTTGAGCAAGCAGATTGGAGAGGAAAATGTGCGTTCTATGAATTGTCTCGGGTCTTCTAGGTGGCTAACCCAGGTTCGCGCAGAGGAAACGGACATTGTTGGTCGAGATGCAGAGGAGGAATAAAGCCGGTGGGATCCTGGATAGGCGTTTCGGAGAGAACGATCCTACAATGACTCCGGAAGAGAAGATGCTCGAACGATTCACCAAGGAAAAACAGGTGCGTTGCTAAAGGTGTTCACATTGTTTAGCGACTAACTATTTGCTTGTACAGAAACGAGTCCGTGGCGGCGACATATTCAATCTCGACGACGACGAAGATGGGCTGACTCATTTTGGCCAATCCCTCGGCGGTCTTACAGACGATTTTGACGACCAGAATGACCTGATGCTCTCGGATGATGAGCCCACCCGAAAACGACCGTTAGATACGGAAGGTTCGGAGGGCGAGGATGCCTCGCCGGAGCGCAAAAAGAGCAAAGCCGAAGTTATGAAGGAAGTGATTGCCAAATCAAAACTTCACAAATACGAGCGTCAAAAAGCCAAAGAGGACGATGATGAGGAACGTAAGAAATTGGATGCGCAGATGAATGACATCTGGGCGCTTTTGGGGGCAAAGAAATCGGCTACTACTGGTCCGGCTACGGGAGCTAATAATGAACCCGTGCCGGGACGGGACGATGTCAAGGCGAGGTCTGAGACAGACTCTAGAACTAACCCGGAGAGGCTGGCGAGAATGGAGGGGAGAGAATATGATTATGACGTAGTTGTCCGGGAAATGGCGTTCGACAAGCGCTCAAAACCAAGTGAGAGGGCTAAAACCGAAGAGGAGAAACTACAGGAGGAGAGTGAGAGATTGAGGAAGCTCGAGGAGGCCCGCCAAAAGAGGATGAGAGGAGAGGAAGTCAGTGGGGATGAGAGAGAAGCCTCAGGTGGAGATGACGAAGTAGGCTTTGGGGATGCGGCCGAATACGGATTTGGAGCTGGTATCCCTATGGCGCCCGTTGGGGGAAACTTTAACCCCGACGAATTGGTCGACGGCGACTATGAAGTTTCAGAAGATGGGTATATTAGCGTTGATGAAAACGGAGAAGTCAATGCTACCGGCGCAGAACATTCAGACGACTATAGCTCTGAGTATAGTGGTGTAGGTGGTTCTGATGATGAACTTGAAGAGGACGAAGATGATGATTTCCTTGAAGTCCTCGAAAATAAACCAGGAAAGGCGGGGATAAAACCAAACGTTCTCGATCTCTCAAAGGTAGATAACAAGGGCGATGGGCTTGCATTCACCTTTCCCTGTCCCCAGACGCACGAGGAGTTTCTAGGGATTGTCGGAGATATCCCAATAGATGACCTCCCAACGGTTGTTCAGAGAATTAGAGTTCTATACCACCCCAAACTTGATGCCGAAAACAAGCACAAACTTGCTGTGAGAAATCCCTTGCTCCTGGACTAAAGTATCGTAACTGACAGATATCTAGCGATTCTCCGAAATTCTCCTGCAGCATATACTCCTAGTTGCTAACAAAACCCCATCCGCACCCCCCTTCAAGCCCTTAGAAACTCTAATCCGCCATCTCCATGCTCTCGCAAAATCCTATCCAGATACTGTATCAATAGCCTTCCGCGAACATCTAAAAACCATGCATGAACAGCGCTCCACTGAGGACTTGAAAGCCGGGGACTTGATACTCTTCACTGCGATTAGCACAATATTCCCCACGAGTGACCACTTCCATCAGGTCGTCACTCCAGCGATGATTGTAATCTGCCAATGGCTCGGGCAAGCGTTCCCCAAGTCGCTGTCAAGGCTAGGAATGGGGACATATCTAGTAACAATGTGTATCCAATACCAACGTCTGTCAAAACGGTACGTCCCCGAGGCCACGCATTTTGTCCTCCGCGCTCTTTCACTCCTCGCGCCGGTGAGACAGGAGAAGCTACCAGGCACCTTTCCGCACGAGGAGTCGGAAGTATCACTGCGAATACAAAAGCCTCCGCAGAAAGAAATCGTGGAAGTACGCAAAATGAATTTCGCGGATATCTTCACCGCGGAGGAGAAGAGCGGGGCCGGCCGGCGCGATATCCAGTTATCGCTTTTGTCAACGTTGGCAAGTTTACTCGAAAGCATGGCGGGCCTCTGGGTGGGTAAAACTGCCTTCACAATGATCTTTGAGCCAGCCTTGGAAATCATAGAACACCTTCTACACAAAATCAATAAACCCGCCATTGGAAGTGCTCATCGAGAAAAGGTTACACCACTTTCCATACAGCCTCCCACTTTCTTTTAGTATCATGACATGACTAACATCTCCCTCACAGCTCCTCGCGACCAAAGCCGGTTTAGAAAATCACCTCTTCCACGCCCGCAAGAGCCTCCGTCCCCTAACGCTCCACTACCACCGCCCCCTCCCGATTAAAACCTACATACCGAAATTCGAAGAGACGTACTCCCTCGACAAGCGTTCCTACGACCCCGATGCGGACCGCGTTGCCCTATCAAAGTTGAAGGCAGAGCATAAGCGTGAGAAGAAGGGTGCCTTGAGAGAGCTGAGGAAGGACTCAAGATTTATCGCTAGGGAGAAGTTGAAGGAAGATAAGAAGACGAGCAAGGAGTATCATGAGAAGATGAGGAGGCTTACGGCTATGATCCAAACAGAAGAGGGGGCGGCAGGGAATGAATATAAGAGGGCGAAAAGGAGTAAGTGAGTGTATAGTATATGATAGTGCGACCTGAGGGAAAGTAGGAGGAGGATGCGAAGGGGGGTTGTATATACCGGTAGCATGTCGTGGATGCTTGGATAATAGTGCCCGGGTGGCTTGGTTGGTCGAACTCCGGTTCCTTCAAAATAAAGTCCTAGACCATGCCTTTGTGATACCTGACGAATGGGGCGCTACGCACCACCGACAAGGAAGCTATGCTATGATATTATCGTGCAATAACGACCATTTACGCTAGATGCCGGCTTTTCTGCCGCTAAATGGCTGAGTGATATACGGTGTATGAAAAACTATTTCTAACACTCAAGATCACTAGAAATGAATCAAGTTTTATAACATTAGTTCCTCAGCATACCGGTACCATACCGCTACTCAAGCCCCCGCTTTCCTATGCACGGTAACCAAGGAACGAAAAACGTCAACGAGATTAACGGTAAGAAATAGGGAGTATGATGTAAATCCGGTTATAATCCCGATGGACCAACAAGCCATGGTGTCACCAAATGCCGTACAGTACCGTATTATCCATGTAATGCTGGTATGATACAGTGCTCTTGTATATTCAAGCACCCGCGGTATCATAGACTGGATCGAACCTGGCTCGAGCATAAGCTAGGGTAACCCACTGCCACTTTTCCCACTCACCCTTCCACCCCCCCCCCCCCAAGCAACTATGATACTGTACGATTACTGTACTCGAGGGGCCGGGTCGAAGTTGATATTATAATTCCCCGAATTTCAATCACGGGACGCTATTCAACCGTCATAAACCGGGAAAAGTTAACCCGAATAAATTACCGGTAAAGTTAATTCAACCACCCCAACCCTCTCCCTCCCAGAGCCGCAATATCTCCCGCGGCTCAACGTCCCTGCCCCGCCCCCGCACTCCGTATTTACAGTATCATACCGCACCCGTGTGTGGGGACAAGGTCCGTGCGCACGGGTAGCCCCACGAGCTCTTACATTCCGTTTAAATTTGGTTCTTGGCCCGGCTCAGGGTTATGCACGAGTGTATATAAACCCACGGCTTCAGTTGGCCCTTGCTTGGAGTATTGTATATCATACCGGTATTGTTCTTCAAGGTTAGGTTAGATTAGGTTGAATACCAGGATGTTGCTCAGGTCGTTTGCGCGCGCTGGGGTTTTCGGGCACAGGCACTGCTATCATGGAGTAGGAGCGGGAGTGGCGGCGGGAAGGCGGGCGTTGTTGACGGAGAGTTACTGCAAAGGACCTATAGAGGTATGGTATCTCATCGCATGCCTACACGTCCCAAGTTCCAATGTAACTGACCTGCCGGTACTCCACTACCGTAGCCGCCATTGCTAGACCTGACCATAGGCTCGCACCTGGCGGAAATAACCCGCGAGTATGGGGACACTCTCGCGTTCGTTCCTCGTCTCATTACCCGTAGCTCTTGAAGTTGACGTTTTCAGTGTAATCTCCTCACACCAAAACACCCGCCTCGCGTACTCCTCCCTACACACACAATCCACCTCCCTCGCCCATGGCCTCAAGAACCTAGGCGTGCAGCGCGGCGACAGAGTTGCCGTCTCGCTAGGGAATAATATCGAATTTGCGCTCGCGACGTATGCCATATTTAAGCTTGGGGCTGTCCTCGTACCCCTCAACCCTTCGTTCAACACCGCGCAAGTAGCCTCAGCCCTGAACCACCTTTCTGCCACGCACTTGCTCATAGGGCTTGAGACGAACCTGCCTCGGAAGACACCAAGGAGTAATTCTGGATTGTTAAGGGAGTTAGTGCCTGACTGCGAGCGTATAGGAGTAATTTCTAGTGAGCTGATGCCGTCGTTGAGGAGGGTTGTTGTCGTTGATAATACAAAGGGTAGAGGGGGAGGGGGGGATGACTTTAACGCGTTTTCGAAGTTCCCGGATTTATTAGAGGATGGGGAGGGAAAGCCGCATTTGACCGAGGAGGGGATGGGGGTTGATGATGTCGTTAATATACAGTTTACTAGTGGGTGAGTTATAGTATATATGGGGGAAAGGAGAATTTGAAGGCTGATGTGGGGAGAGTGTGATAGGACAACGAGTATGCCGAAAGCTGCGTGCTTAACTCATCGCTCTATACTGAATAATGGGAAGAGCATTGGTGACAGGATGCTATTGACGAATAAGGATGTTATATGCTGTCCCCCACCGTTATTCCAGTATTCCCCACTCCTTCATCCACCCCTTCCCGCGCCCAGTACTAAGGAAGAACTAGTTGCTTTGGCAGCGTCCTGGGCTACATGGCTTCCGCAACACATGCCTCCTGCATCGTATTTCCCACCGAATGCTTCGACGCGAAGGCAACCCTTCACGCCGTGCAGCAGGAAAAGTGCACGGCACTGTACGGCGTGCCAACCATGTTCACGGCGGAGCTAGAACTGTTAGCCAGCGGGGAGGTGGAACAGAAAGGTTTCGAGCACATTAGGACTGGGATTGCAGCCGGGAGTAGTATCCCGAGGGAATTGATGAAGAAGTTGCATAAGAAGTTGAACCTGACGGAACTAAGTGCGTGACCCCTCAGGGTCTCTCGGTGTAGAAGAAGGGAGGACTAATGAAGAATTTTGTTGTGGTGGGGGTGTAGCTATATGTTATGGGTGAGTGAGATATTGTGATCTAACTTGGCGGGTGATTTGCGTAATGGCTGACGAGGTTCGTAGAATGACTGAAACTTCACCGGTTTCTGCAATGACTACCACCGATGACCCGCTTGATAAACGAGTCGATAGTGTGGGCAGGTTGATGCCGCACGTCGAGTCCGTCCCTCCTCTCCTTCCCCCCTCTTCCTACTAACATCCGCAAATAGAGCAAAAGTAGTCTCCACCACCGACCGCACCAAAATCCTCCCCGTAGGCAAACGCGGTGAACTAGCAGTATCCGGATACCTCTTACAAAAATGTTACTGGAACGACCCAATCCGTACAGCGGAAGTCATGACTAAAGATGGGAGCGGGAGGTTGTGGATGCATGTGAGGGATTTCCCACGCCACCACTACTGCTTGCTTTCTTCGGTCATATAGCTAATAATCGGATTGGACCGGGCAGACCGGAGACGAAGCAGAAATGGACGAGAGCGGGTATATCAAGATCACCGGGAGATTAAAAGATCTGATTATTCGGGGTGGTGAAAACATTGTAGGTCCCCGGGAATCCTAGACTAGTTTTGGTATTGGGCTAATCCTCAAAGCACCCTCTCGAAATCGAAAACTGCCTGCTTGGCCACCCAAAGATTCTCGAGTCTTCAGTTGTAGGGCTTAAAGATGAGAGATACGGGGAGGTTGTGGCAGCGTTTGTTAGGAAGGAGGAGGGTTTGTTAGCGGATGAGGTTAGGGAGTGGGTTCGCGAGAAGCTGTCGCATCATTTAGGTATGCTATAGTATACCTCTTAGCTAACATTTGGGATGTGGCAGGGCAGAGGGCTAACGAAGTGGTAGTCCCGAAATATGTATTCTGGGTTGAAGTCTATCCCAAGACCGCCAGCGGGAAGATACAAAAGTTCGTATTGAAAGAAATGGGGGCGGAGTTAGTTGCTAAGGGGGAGGGGCTGTGATACGGAACGATGGGTGATGGATGATTGAATTGTAGGTGATTGTGAATATCTGATCTGGGTGGTGTAAGTTATATACCATTGATTGGTCGAACAGAGGGTTACGCTTTTGATCCAGTATTGTACATCGTAAGTCGCCACCATACCGCACGTGAGAACAAAGGTGAAGGAGTGTGGAAATGCCCGTGGCAATCATTTCTTCGCCTTTTTCGCCTTCTGCCCTTTCTGCCCAAAACTCTGGCTAGCCTTGTCCGCCGAACCCTTCTTCGCAGCGTAACTCTTCCGCACCCAATCCGACACGATACCCCTGACAGGACCAAAATCGTGCGCCGGTTTCCTAAACACAATTCATCAGTCTTGCTCCCCCAATCCCCCGCATACACTCCAACATACCGCATATAATACAACTTCGCCCTCCTCGCCATCTTCTCCTTCCGCTGCACGAGGTTAATGCTATCGATAATGGGCGAGTAAACCTTCAACCACATCTCCACCCCCAACTTCGTTAAGTGGTCCCTGAGCAAAATCGAGGTGTCAATGCCGCGCCGTCGGATATTCAGCAGCACCCCGGAAAACGGTTCGCCATTCTTGCGCCGCACGTAGACAATGTCGCCCGGTCGGATCGCTTGCGGGTTCTGCCTGGAGAAGAGCTCCGCGCGGGACCCACTCGGGTCTAGGGCTTTGATTTGTGCCGTCGTGAGTGCGGATATTGGGTCCGTGGTCAGCGGCCCGGGGGGTGGCGGATAGACTTTTATGCGGCGGCGGGGGAGGGTTGGGTTTGGGCGAGTTGCGAAATGGATTCGGGGTGGTGGGGTGTATGTGGTGGCTGTGGAGAGGGTTGAGACGGTGCGGCGGTGGAGGAGGGTGGTTAGCGGCCAGAGTGAGGGTTTAGAGGCCATTTCTATGGGGTAGTAATGGTGGTGATAATGGTGGTAGTGGTGGTGGTGTGCTCTGTTTGTTGGGGATCTTCCTCTGGATTGAAGGTGTTATGGATGTGGATGTTCTCGATAGTGGGAAGCGTGATGGGTATTACGCGTGGTGGGGCTTGGGCTCCAGTCCTACCGTAGCACTTGTAGCAGGTAGCGAGGGGGAGAGAGGGTTGCTGCCAAGAATTCGTTTCGTGCATTCAGAATTCCTGGAGGTTCTTTGGAAACCCTTTTAAACATCATGGCTTTGCGAGTGTGTTGTCGGGTTGCGATCCATTCTCGCCGGTTCTTATCGCGGGGAGCGGTGACAGCCCGAGGGTTCACTTCTCGTCCTCCGCTCCTACGATTAAACGGTATTTTCTCCTCCTTCCTCTTCCCAATTGCTTCCTGATGGACAAAGATGTTCTGACAATTCCCCCTACTCGGAAGAACCACTGCCACAGTTCAAACCAACCGCGTCCCCAGAATTGGGGGAAAGGCTCGCCAAATTTCGGCAAGAATTAGTTCTCCCCTCTCACCTCTTGCTCGAGCACAGAAAAATTATCCGGAAGGAATGTAACCGCGCGAAACTTCTCAATGAGCCCCTCTTCGTTGAAATCGCCGGCGAGAAGGTCCAACTTCTCCCAAACACCCGACCGGCTTTCCTCGGCGCACATGAGATCACGAATATGATCAACGCAATGAACGACCCGAACGAGATTGACAACACCCTCCCCTTCCTGCTGGGTCTCCGGCAGGCGGAGGTCCCGCTGAAGGAAGGCCACAAGCAGAAGATTATCCGGGCTTGCAATCTTTTGGGAAGGGTGGACTTGATAATCAAGATCGTCAAAAATATCAGGAGGTACAACTTCCGTCTCACCAAGCCCATCGCTCGGGAATGCATGCGAAGTACGTTGGTCGAGCAGGCAGTACCCGATAAAGATTTCTCCACGAGAGCTGTCCGACACGCCAACCTTTTTATGAAACTCTTTGTCCACACTGCCTTCAAAGTCGATCCAACCGAGCGGTTAAAGCGGGATCCGGTGGTTATTGGAACGGCGCTGGGTGTGTTTGCAGATAACGACCTCCGCTATAACGACAGGGTTGACTTTGAGGGTGAGACGGAGAAATTGTGTCGCCTTCTAAAGGATCAGTGCTGGGACCAAGTCGAGTGGGAGTGCCCGGTGCCGACGAAGTATAAGCACCCGATCGTGATTCGGAAAAGACATGTTCACAACCTCCTGGGGGTTATCCTCGACTACACTCCGGTTCTTGAAGGGTTGCTTGGGGCCAAGGACATACTAGTCAAGGTCGATGACTTATACCCGTGGCTGTCGGAGCAGAGTGAAAGACTCGCCGAGAGGATTGCAGAATGGAAGCAACACGTGGCTTCCGAGAAGGATATTCTGTCGGATTCCCCTAGGCTGAGTATCGACAATTATAGGGCTGCTGCTGAATTGATCCAGCAGAGGGAGGAGAGGAAGAAGGCAGGAGAGTTATTCGAGGAGGGATCTGAAGGTGCAGACGAGGAGTCCCTGGAGGAGGGTGAAGTAATCGATGACGATGGCTTGACTGACGCTCAGAGGAAGGAGCTGGAGCAGTTGGAGAAGGGCATGTAGATTTTCGATTTATGTTGAATAAAAGCTCTTCATGTACAGTACTATACCTATGTTACACTTCTAGACGTAAAAACCGTGGATGGCCCTTCAATTGCTTCCCTTTGGTACCCTAGTCCCCTGTGTGTACGTACCGTAACTAGTGGGCGTTTGGCGTGCCGTTTTTTCTGATTCGAGAGCAAATTTTCGCAACCCAAACCAGGCTGACCTGAAAATAAGTGTTGAAATTATATTGTCAGGTGCCCCGCGATTTCGTTTTGAGTTCGTTCCGCCTCGTATCTCATGCGACCTCCGAATAAAACCACAATTTACCTTGGGTAATATGGTCAAGTTATATAGGAAATGATTTCTAATCCAGTGGTAAACAAGGTGGTTCTGATCATACAGGTATTTGATTTCCTTTTAAAGTATTTTTTCCTGTTTCCAGGGGAGCTATAATATCTCAGAATGTGTGTCCGTTATCATGGCAAGCCACCCCATCAGTATCCTCCCAGCTCCATCCAAGTCACACTATGATAGTATGATTATCGAATTAGAAGTTAGTTGGAACTTGTATACCTAGGTACCTGCAAAACTCGAGTTGGGATTTGGTAGTTCGATATGTGGCAGTCTACCTGTACCGGTATGTATATAAATTTATACCCCCCTAGTCGTTTTCTTACACAAGACATAAAGTTATCATACGAGTAGTTTGGCTAAACCTCGGATCAGGCATTTATATCCAAATAAGGACTTGATCTCAAATCAAAATCGAAAAGGGGTTATCATATCATACTGGATAAGTTATGATACTTCCCGATTTGAATTGGAGAGATCATGTTGTATGGCCCCCTTAATTCTAGATGGGGGTTCGAAATTTGAAGTCACGAGAGGGTCAGGTGACCATTGATTAGCCATGGTGGGGCAAAGCGGGGGATTCTCTCGATTCAGGAACAAACTTATCTCCACTCTCCCCAGCCCGAAACTCCTGCGATTTGGCAACAGACAATACAAGACAAAACAAGACAGACAAGGTTACCTCTCTACAGGGGTAGATAAGCAATCACGATCATGGCGACCACCGTTGCTATAGATCCATCAAATGCCTCCAAGGCGACCCTGAAGCTTGAGAATGTACGGCTTTATTCCTTACCACTCCCCCTCTTCCCTCTCACTAAACTACTGCTCCCGGTATCCCGACTAACAGGCATTCACTAGACTGAAAAACGAGACACCCTCATTGCAATAGAAAAGAAGTACCAGGCAAAATGGGCTGAGGAAAAAATTTTCGAGATTGATGCGCCAACTCTGGAAGAAGACCCCACAACTGACCCGGACCTCCTGCGCAAGCACCACCCCAAATTCTTCGGCTGTATGGCATACCCATACATGAATGGAAGCCTGCATGCCGGGCACTCCTTCTCCCTCAGCAAAGTGGAATTCGCGACCGGTTACCAGCGCATGAAAGGGAAGCGGGCCCTATTCCCCCTCGGCTTCCACTGCACGGGGATGCCGATTAAGTCCTCCTCCGACAAGATCAAGAGGGAGGTAGAGCTTTTTGGCAAGAATTTTGAGAATCTGCCTGAGGAGGAAGACGAAGAGCCGCAACCAGCGCCAACTAATGCTGCGACGAGCGAGGATGTTACCAAATTTGCTGCAAAGAAGGGTAAAACTGCAGCAAAGGCGGTCAACTTGAGGTATCAGTTTCAGATTATGTTGGCGCTAGGTATCCCCCTGGAGGAGATTCATCGGTTTGCCGAGTCAGAGTACTGGCTCAAGTATTTTCCGCCAATCTGCATGAGAGATTCTACAAACTTGGGGTTGAGAATTGATTGGAGGAGGTCGTTTATCACTACGGATGCGAATCCGTATTATGACGCTTTCGTACGCTGGCAGATGAACAGGTTGAAGGAGCTAGGGAAAATCAAGTTTGGTGAAAGGTATACTATTTACTCGCCGAAGGACGGTCAACCCTGTATGGATCATGATAGGAGTGACGGCGAGGGAGTTGGGCCGCAGGAGTATACGGCTATTAAGCTGAAAGTGCTGGAGTGGACCGAAGAAGGGAGAAAGGAGCTTGCAGGAAAGCTTCCAGAAAGTGCTGAGGTTTTCTTGGTTGCGGCTACACTGAGGCCCGAGACAATGTGGGGTTTCTCTCCCATCCCTAGTTATAAATTTTGACTGACGAAATTAGGTATGGCCAAACTTGCTGCTTTGTCGGTCCTAAGATTTCATATGGCGTTTACCAGGTTTCACCTACCCAGTTCTACGTTTGCACTGAACGCGCCGCCCGGAATATGGCTTTCCAGGGTGTCTTCTCAGAACGCGGTGTCTTCCTATCCGTTGGAACCCTACAAGGCCAGTCTCTTATTGGTACCTTGGTTCATGCACCTCTGTCGGTGCACAAAGATGGCGTCCGTGTTCTCCCTATGGAATCGGTCCTTGCTACCAAGGGAACTGGTGTAGTTACCTCTGTACCATCTGATTCTCCGGACGACTATGCTACCGTCAAGGACCTTTCTAAGAAGGCCGAGTACTACAAGATCAAGAAGGAATGGGCAGATCTTGAAATTATTCCCATAATCAGGACCCCTTCATACGGAGAGCTGACGGCCGAGTTCCTAGTCAAGAAGATGAAGATCAACTCACCAAAGGATTCCAAGCAATTGGCTGAAGCGAAGGAGCTTGCATATAAGGAAGGTTTCTACCAGGGAACCATGCTCATTGGCGACTTCAAGGGCGAGAAGGTTGAGAAGGCCAAACCCAAAGTCCGCGAGATCTTGTTGGGCAAAAAAGAGGCATTCGTTTATAGTGAACCAGAGGGCCACGTTGTTTCCCGTTCCGGAGACACTTGCGTTGTGGCTCTTTGCGATCAGTGGTATCTTGACTACGGAGAGACGAACTGGAGAGAGGAAACTGAGACATTTGTTGGTGATAAACTCAATTCGTTCCACGAGGAGACAAAAAATGGCTTCATGGCAAATCTTGCTTGGCTAAACCAATGGGCTTGTGCACGCTCCTATGGTCTCGGAAGCAAGCTTCCGTGGGATCCTCAATTCCTTGTCGAGAGTTTGTCGGATTCGACTGTCTACATGGCGTACTACACTATCGCGCACTTTCTACATGTTTCTATTGATGGTGCTAGCATTGGCCCTGCCGGTATTAAGCCTGAACAGATGACCGATGAGGTCTGGGACTATGTCTTTACTCGCCGTGATCTCTCCCCGGAAATTATCAAGGAGTCGGGAATCTCAGAGGAATGGCTTAAGAAACTGCGCAGAGAGTTTGAATACTTTTACCCTCTTGATGTCCGTGTTTCGGGCAAGGACCTTATTCAGAACCACTTAACCTTCTTCTTGTACACTCACATAGCCCTCTTCCCGCCACAATACTGGCCTCAGGGAGTCCGTGCGAACGGCCACTTGATGTTGAATGGCGAGAAGATGAGTAAACACACTGGAAATTTCCTGACTCTTGAGGAGACAGTGAAGAAGTATGGTGCCGATGCTGCCCGAATTGCGTTTGCCGATGCTGGCGATGGCGTTGAGGATGCAAATTTTGAGGAGAAGGTGTGTCCTGCTTTTCTAATACCTAATACGGTGACTAATTGCTCCAGGTCTCTAACGCGGCCATACTTCGTTTGTACACCCTAAAGGAATGGTGCGAGGATATGGTCCGCGACGCCAAGGCTGGTAAACTCAGGGAAGGACCAAAGGATACCTTCTGGGATCGTGTCTTTGAAAACGAAATGAATCAACTGATTGGGCAAACCCGTGAACATTTCGAAAGGTAATTACCCACTACCCCGCTCCCACCTCTCTGCACCCCACCATTCGCTAACCTACTCATCCTAATATAGCACATCTTATAAACTCGCCCTAAAAACCGGTTTTTACGAACTCCAAGCCGCGCGTGACACCTACCGCGAAGCCACTACCATCATCCGCCCACACAAGGATCTAATATGCCGCTTTGTCGAAGTCCAAGCCCTACTAATCACCCCCTTCGCTCCCCACTGGGCAGATTACATCTACCGCGAAGTCCTACAAAAGCCAACGAGCGTTCAAAACGCCCTCTTCCCGACCACCAGCGCGCCAATCTCTGCCGAGCTCACCGCTTCTCTCTCCTACGTCCACGCAACTACCTCGAACATAACCTCCACCGAAGCCGCGCAAGCCAAACGCAAAGCGAAAGGCAAATCCATCGCTTATGACGCCAACAAGCCCAAGCGTCTCACCATCTTCGTCGCGCTAGCATACCCGGCCTGGCAGGAAAGATATATCGACCTCGTCCGGGAGACTTTCGACACGCTCACACTACGCACAGATGATAGTTTGTTGAACGCGCGCATAGCGGGAATGGGCGAGATGAAGAAAGCTATGCCCTTCGTGCAGGGAATCAAGCGCAGGCTGCAGGTGGAGCCGTACGAGACGGTTTTTAATAGGAAGTTGGTGTTTGACGAGGTGGCCGTGCTCAATGAGGTGGTTTCCGGGATCGGTAAGATGACTGGCGCGGTGGAGGTTAGGGTTGTGGTTATTGAGGAGAATGGGAGAGGGAAGAGGGTTGATGGTGGCGGCGAAGAAGAGGTGTCTGTTCCGGCTATAGCTGAGAGCGCGGAACCTGGGAATCCGAGGTTTGAGTTTGAGAATGTTTAATTGAGCGATGCATGGTATATCACTCGGTAGAATATTGAAATGCGGATTTCTAAAATGGGTTTCCTTTTTTAAAAAACAAGACGGGCTTCCTCGGTACCGTGGTCTACTTATTCTCTAGTTATTAAGCAGTGGGCCAGTATCTACAATTTATAATAGAAATTTCCCACGGAAAAGCAGCAGCCACCCACACAATCAACCAACACTAATGTAAACATCTAAACAAACAGGGAAGTATGATACAAGCAGCATTGCCACCAAAACCCAGCCAACACAATCCCCACTCCTTCGAGGTCTCTCCCATCCCATCCCCTGTATTTCACAGCACACACCGCATCCCCCAACGCAATCTTCGCAAATTCGAAAAACAGAGTCGCACCTCCCAGAAACCAAATCCCAAAGACTCCCAACATGCACGGAAAGTCTCTCGCTCTGCCCAAATTCCACCATGCGAAATATCACACCCAGTCCGCCTCATCGTCCGTCACGACAACCGACGCACCCCACCGGAAAACCTTCGACAACTGGCACTACATTTCAGCGTGTGGGTCTCGAGAGAATCCTGGGCTAACTTAGCCACTTGAGACATATTGGAGGAGGTACCACACTGGGCATGTTTTCCCTCTCTTGGGTGAGAATGATACTGTAGCGGGCGGAACAGGTCAGGTCAAGCTCTAAACGTTGTATGATATGGTAGAGTAATGCTATCAAAGTTCCTATCATAGTTGGATTGTGTGCCGCTCATTCAACTCCTAGATAGGTCTTTGTCAATACCAACTAGTACAGTACTCATCTACCCACTCCCCCCACACACGAGGAACAAGTCCTATAATACGACACCATAGGTACAATAGGCCAACGATAACCCCCACCACCCACCCACCCAGCCAGCCAGCCAGCCATCCACTCCCGGCATCACCATCACCATTATGATACCATACAAAGAATCGCACATAAAACCACACCTACAGTACACCGTCCACAACCCCAACGCCCTTTCCAAAAAAAAAAACCAGGACAGATCCGAACGAACGGACGGGGATGTAAATCCTTACTCACTCACTCACTCACCACACACAAAATAAACGAATGGATAAATAAATAAATGAATAAAACTCCCGGCAATTTTGTGATGCTATATTATATACATCCCGATTCATCGCTATAGCTAACACTGCAAGTGGGTGTGGTATGATACAAAAAGAAAAAGAAAAATACAGAGAGGGAAGCGAATAGTTAGGCTCTCGTGTGGATAGGAGAGGAGAGGAGGGGCCGGCCGGGAAAAAGTTGGGCCAAACCGCACCATGCTTACTAGCGGCGTAGTGCCGAGTGGGCAAGGTCCCATGGGTGGCCCGGCGTAAGTGAGTACGATACATACAGAGCCGGGCGTGTTGGCTGTTATACGGAGGAGAGCGTGGGGCATAGGCATCGGAAAACTCGAGTTCGAGAATGTTTGGTTTATCAGCGCATAAGATGTCACTCGTCCTGTTAGTGAGTCAGCCTCAAGAGGATTTCACTCAAAAACGCTCTCCAATCACTCTTTCTGTGGAATACGAGCCCCCAAAGTGTGGTACAGACGCTTAATGTCCTACAATTTATGTGACGCAATAACTTTGTTACAAGAAATAACCATCCCATCAATCAATCAATCAATCAATCAATCGACCATGGACCGAAACATTGTGCCAATAGTACAAGCTTCACTCTCACAAAAAGGTTCAACTCACTCCGTTTCCTTTACCACGCGTCCGGCGTAATTCCCAGTTCAATTTTCGCAAACTCGAAAAAATTTTGCCCTCCAATATCTAAATCCAGCATCCCCTCGTCATACAGGAAAAACCTTCCACTCCCCTCATCAACCACCCATACTCTAACATCCAAACCATCCCCCGAACAAACCCCTAGCTCCGTTAGTACAATACACTTCAAAGGAAGCCTTCCCGCCGTAGAATCCACTGCTCTGCGTTTTAATGCGTATGTCATTAACATCAACTCCCGCGCGACTAGGCCGGAACTATGCTCTATATTCCAGTACGAGAGTTCCAACAGCTCGAGGCCAGGTGGGAGAGCACTGCACACTCGGGAGATCTTTTTCGGCGAGAAACAAAGGCAGATGCTAAGTTGGCGGAGATTCCGGAATGTGCTCAGCTGGTCTATGTATCGCATTTCGAAGAATCTCGAATTCATAGTGAGTCCCGTCAGCCCTATTCTCAGCCAGTGTAAGTTTCTTGAAACGTTGAGGCGTAGGTATTTGAGGGTTTCTCTAGAATTTTCGATTGCGTCCAGCATTCTTAGGACCTCCAAAACACTAAAGAAGGAGAGGTCGAGCTCCAACCGCACCAGAGACCTGCAGGCATCGATCAAGTGGATCTCGCAATCTGCTCGACCCGCTTCGACTTCCACGCGTCCCCCCGCGGGATAGTTCGCGGTCTCTATGGCTCTGATAGGGTTATCATGCTGCATTCTCCTCCCGTACTCGATATTTAAGGAATCTAGGATTCTAAGGGATTCACTCCGCTCCCCCAGCCTGGATAGCACCTCGTTGATGTTTGTGCAATCTTGAAGCACAAGACTCCTCAGATTCCCCGCACTCAAGAGGGTTCCAGGGGATGTTAAGGTATCTTTAAAATCGAAGCCGACATAACATTGATCCCATGGTTGGTCACTGCCAATTTTTGCGCACTCTACCAAACTTTTGAGTTTGAGAAGCGGAAAAATCTCAACGGTCCGCCCCACCACGACTAGCTTGTCGAGACTCAATCTGCTGATCGTCTCGCCAAGGTTCTGCAAGCTATCTTCCGAATAGATCGGGGCCAGCCTAAGTTCTCGCAAGCGGGGATAATCATTTTCCCGCATCATTTCCAAGAGGTAGTCCAGCGAAGACACAGTGCTGAAGGCATCCAGTGGTGGGTCGCCGTGGTAAAACGAGACAAGTTCTAAAGCCCGGATGTTTCCGAAGGCCAAGACCGCGTCAAGCAGCGCCGGTGGTGGTCCCTCCATGCAGAGCCATCTTTTCTATCAGTCCTGCAGCCGCCTTTCCGAAGGGAAGGTAGGACAATGGGGCAAACCTGAATTCAGAAACACTTGTGCACTCCGCCAGCTCCCGTCCAATCTTAGTCACGGCCCAGTACCTAGTTTGATTCCACTCAAAGATTCCAGCGATGTGCATAGAGCGTAAGTAGCGTTTCCATGGAGCGCGTTTCTCGAGATCTATGGTGAATGCGAAGGAGGTCGGGGCTTCGCCAGAGGCGGAATCCCACGATAAATTCATCGAGGAATGGAGTATCGGGCTAGCTATACTACGAAATCTTTTGCTGACTCGACAAACTGCTGGTAAGCAGCCTTCATTACAGCTTCTAAATATCAGGTCTAGAATCTCGGCAGGGAAATCCGCCAAATTCAAGTGAGGGTCCGGACGTGGGGCGCAGGAGTGGGGGGGGTGGGGTGTCGGGGGTTCGATATCATGACTAGATACTTCTGAAGACGACATCAGGATAATATAATAACAATGGGAGAGTAAGGAGTAGGGAGAGGCTTGTTTGTAGTTTGAGCCGGTGAAAGTCAGGAAGCGGGAGAGAGGAGGGAGGGGAGGGGAAAGAGATGAAATGGGATGTTTATCTTTGGACAGCCCCTGGGGTGCTTGCGCGGCATGGACGAGGCGTTTCCTTTTCACACACTGCCTAGCGAGCGCATTCAAGCACGGATCGAGTGATCCACGATGATATCTCTACCTTTTTAAAATACCCGTCTCCGGGGACACCTTCAGACGAAGGGGAAGCATAGAAACCTCGGCCCTAATCCCCTCGGCCCGCCCGCCAGCTCCCTTCCCGGAAACACTTCATCGACATCCCATCCCCATCCCGATTTCGTGTGGCCAGCATCCCCCCCCCTCCCCCGGACCTTATGGAGAAGCGAAGAAATGGAGAAAATTAAACCACTCGCAATGAGTGCCTTTGCGAGCCCGGAGCCATATCTTGATGCTTCGGACAGTCCGACCGCTAACCGTTGGAATACCTGGAGCCTATTCGACGATGCCCCCTGACGGCGCGTCTCGAGTGATGGGTCATGATACACCGCTGGCTGTCACGAGAGCACAACTTTTGTCTTCTCATATTCTTGAAGGGTCTACACTCGGGTAACTAGTTTGCTAGCAGCTGATAGGATTCGGGTGTGCCTGCATCTGTAGGGGGTTCTGGACCAGTACGACTGGTCCAGCGTATATTGTAATGGTATCTTGCTTTGCCGACCGTATTAGTACTCGGCAGCCTCGCCCCTAGTATTTGAGTAACCCATGAGATTAGACCTGTCAGCCCTACCGTAGGCGAAGAAACTAAGGGGGCGAGGTGGCCGTCATCACCGGTAATGCCAACAGGGTACTGTACAATTCAAATACAGTTCGCGAGCATAAGCAAAAGAGCTGGTGACTCGAAGGGTCTTCAAAAGGCGGCGTAAAAGCTTTTTAAAGACCATCTCTCCCAAATGCTGGGTCACTCGGCGCTGCCGGCAAACATCGAAGAACACTAACTTATATGGTGGCAGGCTCGGCAGAACCTTACATGAGATTTCCCGAAGGGAGTGGCGATTGGAGCCTTCCGGCAGCCCCACCCGCCCCCCAAGAACCCGCCTCCACAGGAACTCAGCAGATGCTCGGGGCGCTTGTGTGGGTCGGACAGCATTGGATCTCTCCTCTTGTAAAACATCATGGCTGAAAGATCATCAGGACCATGGTCCCGCTGATGCGAAGAGATGCGAACATTCCAGGTGTCCGAAATATGTGAGCGTGGGGGCATAACTACAGACTCTGATATTGTATCCGGTGCGAGGACTTTAAGCCCCCATTGAGCGTGTTCGGGCCGCGGAAGCTGTTCCCCGACCGGGCCGTTAAGAGGTTTATGGAGAAAGATGGCATGAGAAGGTTATCCCAGCGCTATCATAGTGATCATTCCGGCTGCAAGTAGGATAGCTGACAGCACCCGTACTCTACAGTCGACCGGCCCTCGTCCAGTGCCGTACCATGATATCCATCCTGCACAGTACCGCACGGTATAACCGCCCCAGCCAACGCCCTACCGGTACGCTGTGTATCATGCAGTACTCGCACAGTACAAGAGCGCAGTACCTGCTTCATACCGGTACGGTCCGGTGCCGTAGAAACATGGGCAATTGGGCCATGCGCTACACAATCGAGCTCCCTCCGCTCTAGAAAAGGGGCGAAGAGCGCAGCAGAAAGGGGAGCTGCGGTACTCAACTTTTTTTTTTTTTTTTTTTGTTTAAATCCTTTGATTGTTTAAGAGCACAACCGCTGTAGCTACCGTACTCAACCCCTCTGGGACATATATAAAGCACCGGACCTTATCGATCGGAGGAGGCAACCCCAACGGCATAGACAGTACTCGGCCTAACGATTCGATATTCCACGGTACCCCCGTGAGTTGACCTACTCCGCCATTTCTGACAGCCAGCACAACCACGTCATGGAAAAACCAACGTCAGAACAAGCTCCCTCAGTTCAGCCCTCGGACCGGAGAATGAGGCAAGTCCGCAAAAACCGCTTCTTGGGAATTTCCTTTGTGCTCCTTGCTGGCTTGATATCGCTCGGAGGCTTTCATTGTAGGGATAGCATTCGCGGGTGCAGGGGATCGTATTGGCCAGTTGAAAAACGGGTCGAGCGTATCCTTGGGCTTACACCGCTAATTGGTGAGGGGTGGGCCACTTGAGTCGTTGCGATGAGGATAAGCGCGGTGACTAACTTTTTTTAATTTTTTATCCGGTCGGAAAAAGATGGGCATAATGATCTACCCTTCGCGATAAGGGTTCTGTTCGAGAACAGGATTTACGGTAGCAATTTTACCTTTGACACTTCATTGCCGTACCAGGTCGATCTCCCGAGGTTAAAGAAAGGGCGTGTTGGGGTATTAGCCATCATTCACTCCCTCCTCCCCGCCTTGAACCGACACTGATTGATTGCCTCCTAGGGTGCCTTCTGGAGCGTATTCGTTCCGTGTCCTGACACCAAGGAAATAGACGATAAGGTCTACTACCCGAGCGTGCAAACCACTTTGCAGCAAATAGATCTGGTTCATCGCCTAATCAATGTCTACCCCGACCTCGCTCTAACATCCTCTCCGCTCGCCGCAAGACATGTACATCGCCACGGCAAGATCGCCTCGGTAATGGGTGCCGAAGGCCTGCACCAAATCGGCAACTCGGCTTCTAACCTTCGCCTCTATCATTCCCTTGGGGTCCGCTACGTAACCCTGACGCATAACTGCAACAACAGATACGCCGACAGCGCGCTCCCCTTGAATAATACTCTCTGGGGGGGGCTAAGCGACGACGGCCGGGATATCGTCAAGGAGATGAACCGTCTGGGCATGATCGTCGACCTCTCGCATACTTCGCACGATACACAGATGGATACGTTCAAGGTTACTCGCGCTCCCGTAATATACAGCCACTCCTCCGCCCACGCTGTCTGCGACCACCCCCGCAACGTCAAGGACGAAGCGTTGGAAAGGGTCAGGGAGAACAACGGCGTAGTGATGGTGAACTTTTACCCAGTGTTCGTCAAGTGCGGTGGCGGCGAGGCGGGATTGGAAGACGTGGCGGATCACGTGGAGTACATTGGCAAGAAGATTGGTTGGGAGCATGTCGGTATTGGCTCGGATTTCGATGGAATTGGGAAGGTCCCGGTCGGACTGGAGGATGTTTCCAAGTATCCAAAGCTGTTTGAGGAGTTGTTGAGGAGAGGGGTCACGGATCGCCAGGCTGGCTTGATTGCCGGGGAGAATGTGTTGAGGGTTTGGAGGGATGTGGAGAAGGTCTCTCGGAAAATGAGCAGGGAGGGGGTTGAGCCTTTGGAAGACTAGGTGCATGTGATGTTTCCGCTCTAGGACGTGCTTGAGAATGGAGGGCTTCCGAACGGTGTATCACAAGGTTCAATAAGATACCGGCGGCTGTTTTAGAATATTGAATTTTCCGTGTGCTTCGGCATCTGGGCGAAAGAGGTGGCCTGCGACTCTGTCGTTGCCACAAGTAGGGGAAGGCTACGATTGTTCCGCTGCACCGTACTGTATGCCATGGGAAGCGACGTATTTGTAACAGGACGAGCCAGGGGGCGGGAAAAAATAAACCCCCTTTCACCTCCTAATAACACTCTAGTTTCGACCTGACCACACCAGAGCTTCATTCAACCCCGAACACGATCACGCCAGGCAAGGCCAATGCCTGGCGCTCTAGCAAATACAATACTGTATCATGCCCCGGTATCCTACCTCCATCCCCTTTCCTCTCCCCATCCCTAAACACTGTTTGATCCTCAGCGCCACCTCTCCCGTGCATGTGAGTGACCTTTTCCTTCCTTCCTTCAAGGATCCAATCCCCTCGATGTTGTTCCTAGGGCGGTATCGGCCGAAATCCCATAATTGGGGCAGAGTGCAGGCCGGCGCTCATGGAAATTTCACTTTCCCCGCTTTATGTGGGGTGAGGGGTTGGAGGTTTTCCGATGTTGGCTGCCCGGCATGGTGGGTTGCTCTAGCTTGGATACTAGGCTGCGAGTATGATACGATGGTCTTCCCTGTTCTCTCGTATCATAGGACTATGCTGAGGGAAGTTTTTAGGTTTGGTTATAGACTACAGCTCAGGACTCAAACAGAAGAGGCTGAGTTCCTTGGGTTTGGATCGAGGGGGAAATTCACGGCAAAAAAGTCATTTCCAAGCATCCAGACACCGCCCATAATCAAGACGCTAAGTTAACACTTCCCGCGCTACTGTACCGGTACTTGCCGTGCACCGCATCCGCAGAGCCTCAAGGCAAGATCCCTAACCGCAAACGGTCTACCGTATGAGAGAAACCAAAATCCATAGCAACCACCTCCCCCCGCTAAGAATGTTCCCCCTCCACCCCCCGCACTCAACAATATATTCCCCCGGCCACAAGAAATGGCTCCAGACATTAACCGATCCACCCCCGCCGACGCGCACCCTCCGCCCCGTAACCGCACCTGAGGAAGTCCTCCCTCCAACCCGCTACATCTCCACCCCGGCCTCGCAGCAAAACACGGCAAACCAGGCCCGGCGCCGGGCATGGTGGTCACGATGCATCTCCATAGACACTCCAGAGATGGGCCCAGCAGTGGATATCCTGGGTGACCTACTCGAAGAGTCTCAATTGGTGTCTTCCCACGCGGAATTAACAGACACGTCTATCGGGAAGCTCCTGGACTTTGGCAAAGCCTCGGACGCCGAGAACAAACGCACGCGCATGCTGGATACGGCGGTGTTCGCGATGGGCGGTGTGGGTGATGAATTGGGCATCGCGGGGGTGGCCGGGAAGATAGTCGATGATGGCGACACGGGCACGAAAGAGAAGATCGTGGTCCCCAGGATACTAGTCGGGCCGGGCGAGGAGGGTTGTATAGCACACAAATTCTGGTCACCGATACGCCAGGTCATCTTCGCTAGAGGCGCGGACGACGGGATAGGGAAGCCGTACCTTGCCGTCAGGACTCTAGTCGGCACGACCATTTTCAAGCCGACGAGACTACAAACCCCGCTCCTCGGTATGACCAACCGCTACTGGCCGAAGAAGTTGCTCACGATCGAGAATGAGGATATGTACGGGAGCGCCCATGCCCACGTTGAGTTCAATCCTTGGTTTGAGAGGCAGTTTGGCGTTCTGGATGAGAAGGGTGGGTGGAAGATTTGGGATATGGAAGGGCTGCAGAGGAAACCTGGAAACGATTACGTTGTTAAGGAGTATGCGAACGGAAGGATGCCGGTGGATCATGGGAGTGAGGATGTGGTTGGGGGCTGGGGGAGGTTTTGCTGGGGTGGGGATTTGAATACGGTTTTCGTTGCTGGGAGGAAAAGGGCTGGGGTTTTCGATATGAGGGTAAGTCTGGAACCCAACTTTATTGTGGAGGTGACCTGACTGGGAGGGCACGATAGGCCCAGCCGAGTAGTATTTCGCAGATTGGAATACCACTTGGCTACAATGATCGAATACTTGATCTTAAAAGTGGACCACCAGCAACTATTGGCACAGACGCTTTCGTTTTGACATCAAACTCTCTACACTGGCTAGACCTACGCCAGCCTAAAATACCACTAATGGCCCTCCCGCACTACCGTCATGAATCTGATGCCTTACTCTCACTGGAACTATTCAACCTTGGTGACTGTACTCCTCCCCCCCCCCCCCTCTCCTAACCTTTACCCTAACCAACGCTAACTCTCTCCTAGCAATAATAAACGCCCTGATCTACTCCCGGTTAAACCATCTAATTACTTCAATCACCCTCAGCCCCACCGAGACCTCTATCCCAACGCAGCTCGGCCCGCAAACCCACCTCCCACCACCCTACCTACACAAAAACGTTTCCACACCCCTAACCTACAGTATCTCCATGCTCACCTGCAAATACCACAAAAGCCCCATCCTCCGCTCCCAAAAGCAATTCTTTAGCGCCTTCTCTATAGGGAAAGACCTAGCCATAACACAGCGTCTATACTCCTACTCCCCATCCCCAGTGGGCCCTGACGGCAGCGACGCGGAGGATGGGGGAGCGCAGGAAGAGCGAGAATTAAACCTAAAACCGAGAACCAGAGAACGCCTAACAGGCGTCGGCGTCAAGAGTGGTATGTACGTAATCGAAGACGGAGAAACCAACGCCTCCTCCGAGTGCGGCGAGGGAGATGCCGGAGCCGAAGGCCCGAGCAGAGACAAAGTCCTCCTGAGGGAACTCCTCGATGCGAAATCCTCCCGCCGGAGAACCAACCTTGGAGACCTCTACGAGCACGCATACGTCCGGGGCGAAGACGCGATGCAAACGGCCGGGTCGGCAGACGCATACATCGCCGAACTAAAAGCGCTCCTGTCGAAGCGTCGCGAAAGGGGTGATCTGGGTGTCATCTCTCTACTAAACCTCCATCCACCAATGACCCTATTCCCAGACCTCCAAGCCACACAAACAGCAATCGAAGCGGTCCTACGCCTAGAGCACTTCTCGGAATTTGCAATTGCCCCCTTATCCACCACCACCACCACCACCACCCACCAGACGCCCAACGTCCAGGAAACCTATGACAATCTAAAAACGATCTACCTTACCCCTCTGCCAGAGGGTACAAACCCGAAGATACTCCTCCGCCGCGAAAAACTCATCCGCGCCCTCGCGCTTGAAACGTACCTAGCAAGCATAGGTGTGTACTTACTCCCCCAGGAACCGCCGCCACCAGGACCCAATGAAGACCGACCCATCCCCATCAAAGAACCCATCGAGAAAATCAGAACATACGCAAATGTAGATTCACCTATCACCTTACCTCCCGGAATGGAAAACGTGCTCGACGCCTGGACCCCTGGACAGGATCCCTGGGAACCCGGTGCCGGATTGGACGTCGCGGGTGCTGGGAGCGAAGGTAGCAGCAGCAGGAGGCGGAGGAGGAGGAAGAGTTTTGCCGAAGCAGCGGCAAAAACTACTGCGGTTAGAGTTGTGAGAGTAGGAGGCTCGCAGCCCCCTGCCATGTCGGTGGTTGGAAGCTCGCAGTCGGAGATGGTGGTTAGTACCCAGCCGGAGAGGGGCGCGTTTGGTGATGGCGGCGCGGGGAGGAAGGCCGTCAGGAAGAAGCGAAGGACAGGCTTTTAGTTTGAGTTGTTATCACCACCATCACTTACCTCTTGTTTACCCATATGCACCCGGAGAATTTGAGTAGCGCCACCCCCGCACTAAGTACATAGGTATTATAGCAATTTCTTCATACAATATCACTCGTAGTAACGTTACCGCAATCAGAACTACCACTCCAATCCAACAGAAGGGACAAATATACGGTACCGGTAACCCACCACACCACCACGCACCAGAATTAAAAATATAAAAAAATCCGTCGAGTCATCAACATATATTCACCCCACCCGATAAGTATTATAGGAATCCCCAACGCCCTACCAAACAATCAGTCAGACTCCAAGTCAGCTACCAAGCCATCCCCCCCCAACCCACTTCACCACCCCCACCAATCCCCCACTGAAGAAATTCAATCTATTCATTCATTCTTTTCTCTTCTCCTCTTTTGTTTGTCCGGTGGTTAGTACTGTAAGTGCCAGAAATACCCGCCCAGCGCACGAAAAAGAAAAAAAAAAGAAAAGGGATCCATTCACGGGCGGTTGAAACTCTGTGAATGAATTTACGATACTTTTGTTATGTAGTGTTGATAGAGTACTGTACCGGTGCGGTTGGGTCGTTGGGTGGGTTTTGGGAATTGGGATTTGGGGAAGTTGGGGAAGTTTGGTGGGTGTGGTGTCGTACTACCGGTGTAATATAATACTATGAGTACAAATGTGGATGGATGTGCTAGGGCGTGTTAGTGGTATTGTTGGTGGTAATGGGTTGGTTGGTTGGTTGGTTTGTTGGTTGCTGGGGAGGATTTGTATAGTATAAACTAGAAGTTGGGTTACCATGGATGGGTGCTTTACTGTGTCGGGATGTTTTAGCGGTGTGGTTTTGTTCCCCGTGGTTTGTACTGTATGGTGTATTGTGTGGACCTGAGCTTGTTTTGTGGGGGCTGGTTTATCGGGTGTGATTTCTTGTGAAAGAGGCTTCGGACTTTTCATGAATATAAAAATACTATGGGACTCTGCTGGACAGAAAAGCTTCCTCGCGGTGCGAGTCTCCATTGATTGGCGATCTATAGTTATGATAGATCTCAGGTTTAGTACCACAAGCTTCAGTCACAGCCACCCCCATTTATCAATCGACCCGCCCGCCAAGGTATGATAGTTACAGTACTTTACAGTACCCACACCCAACATGCTCAAACCTCCCTCTCAGCGTAACTCTTCACCATACCCTCCACCGAATCCTCATACTCCTTCAACTCAACCCCGCCGTCGTCAGACAATACAGTATTCGCCTGTACAAAGACTTTCCTCGGCTGCTTCAGCCTCATAACCACTTCTCTGTAACCCTTAAACTGATCGGTAACCTCGGTCATGCGCTTGTACAGCTCGCTACCAGCACGGACGTCCGCAGTGCTCTTGTAAATGTGCAGCTTCGTCAAGTACTCCCCTACAGCCTTCCGTCCGTGTGTTAAAATCTTACTCCTGTCAATAGAAATGGTAAGATCCGACATATCCGGTAGGGAGTGTGAAAACGTGACAAAGCCATCCCCAGCGGAAATGAACGCTTGCAGGATGAAGTAGCGGGCTTGGGAATGCGCCTGTCCCCACTTCTGACTCTTGGGGTCCCAGGTTTCTACGGAGAGCAGGCCTGCACGTGCCATCTACAGGTACTCGATGTACAGTACATCCTCTGCCTCCTGGTCGCTCGCATGGCCGAAGATGGATAGCAGGTCTTTTTCTACGCCGAGGTACATTGCTACCAACTCCGCGCGACATTCTTCGTAGGAGGCGGCGAGGCCGCCGAATACGCTGCCCCACGTCTCGTTCGGCTTGTACCAAGTTCCCACTGGCTCGTTTGTGATTGGGTTGATGGGCGGGTTGGCGAGGTCAAAGTTGTACTCTCCCGGGGAGGTTTCCTGTAGGAGCTTGCCCGTACCATGACCTAGTAGCTCGTGGACGCCGACTTGGACTTCGAAGGCTGGCCTCTGGAGCTTGGAGTAGAGGGCTACATCCTCTGGTTTTAGGAAGGTAATTACTTCGTTGGGTGATCGGGCGGAGAGGATGTTGCCCAGAGAGACGTTTTTGAAGCCGATTTCCTGGCGGATGTCGTCGTAGTTTGGGATGTTGATGCCTGTGTTCTGATGAGCTTGGGCTGTTGGGGTGAATGGATAGCAAATACGAACCGGCCGGGATCCCCGCCCCGGCAAATGTTAAAACTTCCAGACTTGTAAAGTCCGGCTTCAAAAAGTGGTTCTTTTCGAAATCCTTGCCCCAGGGTAACCTTGTGATGAAGTCCTCTGCACGCCTGACCAGCTCCCCGAAAGTTCTTGTTCGCTCTTCGTTCACCATTGCGGCAAACCCTTCCCATTCCGCACGAACGCCAGCTGGGTCACGATATGTCTCGACAAAACCAATATTAGCCTCTACCCGGGGACCCTTATCCTGCACCCAGTACTTCTGAGACTCCTTGTGCGCTTGAATAGACCCAATATCAAACGACCGGGCATACTCCTCCCACATCTTCCTCTGAATCTCATTCGCTGAGTGTTCCGCCGCGGCCAGGCATTCTGCGGAGATCTTCCTCATCAATTCTGCGTAATCCCCGTACACCAGTTTCAACCTCTTCTTCCCACCTTCTCCAAACGCAAACTCTGTTTTCTGTCCCCCGGGCGCCGCCGTCTCCGCTGACGCGAATAGTAAATGAAATTCGGAGTCGGAAACCTTCTTCAACCTCGTATTCTCGACAAGTATCTCATTCGCGGCAGTAAGCGCCTGCACCTCTTCAATCTCCGCCTTCGTGATACTAGGTGAGTCCGGGTAGTAAGCCGAAACATGTCCAGCATCAATATACCCAATCAAATTCTTCTCCTCTGGCACAACCGAATACACAACCTCCCCCACTCCGTCAAACAACTTCCTCGCCTCCCCACCGGCACGCTCCGCCAATTTACGTAACTCTGCCTTCGGGATGCGGGGCACGAACTTCAGGTCCCCGAAGGACTTGTAGTTCCCCAATGAGGCCAGGAATACCGTTGCATACTCAAGCCAGTACTGCACGTCCTGCTCGCTGACAGAGCTGTCCAAAGCGTGCCTCTTCCAGTCCCCAGAGCAAGCGGCGTACAGGGCCAGTATGAGGTCGTAGATTGCCTCACTTTCCGGTGAGTGCTGACGGAGGGTCACACGGGTACCTAGGAACGAGGCGCGAGAGATGTGGTGTGCGTAGAGCTTTTCTTTGGGGGTTAAGGCTGTGAAGTGCGGGGCGACTTCTAGCCGGCAAACTGTTGGAGGGGAGTCCGCTAGGACTGTGGTGGGGTGGAACGTTAGATTTGGCGGCTTATAGGGAAGGGGGGGGAAGCTTACGGTGGGTGGGAATGCTTGTATCTGCCATGATGACGGTTAGATTGGGTTTTCCGTTCCTGATAGATTTGATGATGGGGCAGTTGGTGGATGAGTGCCGAGAGCTGAAGTTGGCGGGGTACAATACGATACGATACAACCAGCACTCCAAGGCAGCCCTACCGTCACCTCACCTCAGGGAAGTTGTTGCTGTTCTTAGCAACGGAGCCTTGCGGCTCAAGGTATTAGATTATGGCATCGTAGGGTCCCCATCACCGTTTGTAGCACCGCATCGTACAAACACATTCACTATGTAAAAGACTACGAGATCCGGTAATTCAATCTTCACAATATAGACACGATGTATTCGTCCCAAAAATGGCACGATAGAACTACCGTAGAGCACCGGTACCGGTAGCCGACCAGCACGCCAAGACTTTCCACACCATCGTCAACTTAGTAATCATTATGCTAACTTAAGCTCCGGTGCTTCAACAACCCGTCCGCCGCCCCATCCCTACGATAGTCTACTCGTACAACAACCGTCGAACCGCGATTAACTTATTCTTATCACCCAAACACCGCCCCCCGAAACCTTATCGCGATCGATCAACCCTCCCCCTCCCCCCAGGTATGATATCAACACAGCACATAAATAGCACAGCAAAACAAAAAAAAAAAGTCCAGACCAACTCCATGTAATGTATGATAGCCCAATCGAGCACGTCGCGCGTCCAGTCCTGTCCTGTACGATACCCATCCTTCATGCACGCCATCGATTACGCTATGATACCCTCCGAAACACCTCACTCACCAATTCCCCCCCCCCCCACATCTTCTAGCGTACCCGTGCACTCGAACGAGCCCGCCGCGGAAATTGCATTAACGACCGTACGAGTACTCTATAATAGTAACGGGCACCCACCCAACCTCCCGTTCATCCATTGCCAGCGACCTCACCTCACAGATCTTACCCGAGAATCGTTTCGTTCCCGATTCCAACTTGAGCTGTTTGAGCCATTGGTTGCTTGGTCTACACCACCCATACGTCCGCTATGTGACGGGGTGGGTTGAGCCAAACTGGTGCTCACTTGCCTGTTGTCGTGCCATGCCATGCATGGTCAAAGCGAGAGAGTGTGGGAGTGAGGGGGGGAGGTTCGTAATGTGTGCGATCATGCGCTATCACTCTGCCACGTGATTGTTTTGGGAGTTTTGAATTGGGCAGGTTGTTAATGGTGAGGGGAGGACACGAGATTTACGGTGCATAGGCAAATTGCTCGGGTGGCATCTTAATTTAATTTCACACGAGTTGTGTCCTTACCCGCTTAGCTAGTTTGGATGAATGGATGAAGATTGGATAATGTGGTGTGGAATTGTGAGTACAGTACTGTGAATGACTTGATTAATGGATGGAAAAATGAGCAACGTAATGCAATGTGATCGAAAGAGAAGAGGGGAAAAATGTGAGAGGGAAAAGAGCATGTGTTGAGTAAAAACATCATCGAAAAATAGCGGTTCCTCCCCCCTCCAATCCCTCATACAGGAAATCAATCAAATCTCGGCGGCATGTGCAAAAACACCCCGACTGTCCCCCTCTTCTTATCCGCCCAGCCAACGTCCTCGATGGACTTTTGTGTGCCCCACATGTACGTCAACCCGGGCAAGAATCCCTCCCTGACCCTCTTCATTTCCTGCACGCGACAACCCTCGCGCCCGCCGATCCGCTCGATGAATTCCCCGACGCTGATTGCCGGGGGAACGGTGTAGCTCCTGGCGCTCGAGGGAACGGTTTCGTTCTTCCACACCTTAATCTGGACGAGGGGTTTGATGGTTGGTTGGGTGACGGGTTTGCGCGTCTGAACAACTGTCCAGTCACTCACGGTTGTCGGCCCGGGGTTATTGTTGTTGCTGTGATTATTGCTGGTGGTGGTGGTGGTGGTGGTGGTGGTGGCGAGGTGGGCGTTGGGGTTGTGCTGTTGAGTTTGATGGGGCGGCTGGGGAGTGAGGCCATTTGCGACGACCGCCGACCAGGGACTTCCACTGGTGATGAGGGACCGGGAGGCGAGTGTGATCTGCGAGTTCTGGGGTTTATGAGTGTGGCTATCGCCTCGCTGTTCTAGAGAACGAGAACAAGAGGAAGGAGGGCTCTCAGATCTCAAGCGCACGCCGTTGTCATCGTCGCCCCCGAAAAAGCTATAATTCGATCCCGAATTTGGTCTCCCAGCGCCAATGACGGCTGTCGAGAGCGCATCTCGATACGATACGCTTCGGATCTCGTTTCCGGGAGCAGGGGGTGATACCGACCCGGGCGGAGAGGAGACTGGGGAAATAGAGGCCGATGATACCGCGGTGGTGCTCCTGCTCCGTGTGGTGGCAGCGGACTCTGTGGCGGAGCTATGACTCTGACTGGTCCGCATTGGGCTCGAGATGGCGGCGATTTCCTGCCTGGGGAGAAGACAGTAGGTCCCACCAGGAACCACCAGATCTTGCCAGAGAACGGAACTGACGATCGCCCCGGTTTCATCTACCACGTTCCAGTTGCTTGGCTGCGGAACGCTCTCGGAGCAGCCGGCTTGAAGCTCGCCGGTTTCAATGCACGAGACGAGAATTCTATCTGCTGTCGTGCGGAAGTCCTGGTTTTCTCGTTAGCCTCTGAAAACGCAATCCAGGAGGCGCTTGAAGGGATGGAGGGAGTAGGGGATCGCTAACATCGAATGTTTGTGCCCTACGATAGGGAATAGTGTATGGCCGAGTGAGTGGCGAAATGTAGAGTCTCAAGGGAGCCTCTGCCGACATGATGCCCCAGTAATTCGTCTGATGACAGGAAATACAAAACGATAAGAGAAAAGGTAGCCAAATTTCACAAAGTGTGGGGGAGGGGATGGGAGGGGAGAGCGAAATATATAAACGGTTTTTTCCGAATAAAAGGTAGGGCGGGGGAAGACCTGAAACCAAATGCTTCGTTTCCAAGTCATGAGTTGGTGCCAGACCATTCTTTTATAACTCGCAATTGTTCCCCAAGCCACCCGCTCGCGCTCCCTCCCCCACTGCGCACACAAGCCCATAAGGCAACATGTGCTGGCAGACACTCCAACCAAAGCAGCGCAGGTGCAATTATTTATCTGTCGGTTGTACCCATAGCTTCCATCCAGACTCAGGAATGTGGGCGCGCAAAAGCACTACGAGTAGTTTGAGGCTTAGGCCGGGAGGGCATAGGTTATCATAGGTTACCCTTTCACAAGTAGGCGCAAGATACGTAGCCTGATTTGACTGGTGTCATTCGCTCCCTGCTCGACACATTAGTTGATTTACCAATGGCGGATAACTTGTTGTTTCGGCGGGAGAAGAACATTCATGCGCTTACTCGTGCTTGCTACTCGTAGCCAGGCTGCAGCCTTAAGCTTGTACGAGTAGTACTTAACTTACGAGTATGATGAGTGGTTGTAAGGCAGCAGTCCGGCGCTGATCCCCCCACCTTTGATAATATGCTCGGGTGCAGTAGATGTACTCTAGTACTACCGATAATTTAGAGCTCGCTCGGACTGGATTCGTCCCTTCCAGTTAATAGTGCCTTCGAATCAGCGGGCTTGCTGGCCATGATACTCGTAGGCCTGAAACACTTGATCGTCCAAGTAATCCCTCGATCGCTTTTGCGAACCCTAACCCTAGTTCCATGGAAGAACCTTGCATTTGAACCCTGAACTTCAAACTTTCTCACATCCATCTGTTCCCTTGCTCGGGGCGTCCCTTGCTGCTTGCCACCACCGTCATCCCGGTATTCCGCCTAGCTGAAACCCACTTCGAGTGATCCTTCATGAGCTCTGTCCACTCCCCATCCGTCCCGCAAAAAGTGATAACAGATGACCATCGTTATCCAGACCTGCGTACGCGCTACCAGAGCTGTACGAGTACTGTGCCCCACTGTGTGCTACCCGGCAATCGCAATCTGGTGCATATCTTCGCCTCAACTCCTTGATCCCGGAATGCGCGCGTGCGGGGTGAAGTGTACGGTACAAGTACGAGTGCTGTACTCGTCCCATAAGACTGTATCAGGTTTTGCCGTTCCTGGCTCAGTTCTCTCTCTCTCTCTCTTTTCTTTTTCCATTTTCTTAGTAGCCTCATGAATCTCCGGGAGGCTGAGCTACGGTACCCCATCGCTTTGAATCCTTCAGTGACCTGCCTGCTACGTGCAGATGGGCGCGCGGCAGGGTATAGTGCCGTACAGTACCGTACGTGTCTGCACACCGCATTTCAGTCCCGCTGCGGGCGGGTGGGGGAAGAGATGGAAAGCCTGGTTCGGACGCCCCAGTTTTAATGCTAGGGGAAGTGTCCCACGGTAACTTACAGCTTTGCTCGCAGTATTCTCGCCTTGTTTTCAGCTTGGCGTGTGCGTCAGCGGTGGCGGGAGGGATGCCTTTCGGCTGTTGCCTGGGATGATACCGGTAATAACAGTAGTTGATACTGCACGGGTAAGGTGGTGTGGCGGTGGGTCGAGAGGCACTGGAAACTGAACGAATGTTCGGTGATTGACTCCCACTTGAGGGGATGAAGCCTCACTATCACCCGTAACTCGAGAAAAGTGTCACCGCTTATGTGTCCCAGTCATCATCATTGCCGTTGGCTTTTCAATGCGCTTCGTCACACAGGGCACCTGTATTATACGCGAGCTGTCATAAGTGCCACACTCTTACAGTGCACCTCATAGCGGACTGGAGATACTGGCGACGTGACGGCACCAGGGGCGGAACAGGCACAATAGATATGCGGTAGTATTTGAGGCTCAGTACAAGAGCTGTGCGTAAATCCGTCGGATATCCGAGTATATTAGTAGCGAATACTAGCTATCTGGTACGATAGTACTATCGTACAGTACCCGTACCCTACGGTAATCTCCCGTCACAATACCCGTATTCAGCCACCCCCGCCTAAACCCCAAGTATGCCACGCAGGCACTGCAACTTGGCTGTGTCCCCGTGCTCCGCTTCCCCTTGCTCCCACTTCTTTTCATGCCTCTCTATTAGGTCGGCTCTTTGCTCTTTGATGAATATTTCACTGATACCTCTGTCAACAGACTCCAATGCTCCAACGATCCAAGCGTGATGCGTGCTAGTCGCCTCGCCGATGAAATGAAGGTTTCCCTTCGCGGCTGGCTTGGTAAGCTCAGGATACATATTACTGAACTGTCCTGGACCGAAGGAGGCATACGCTACTGCTGTCAGGGCCCAATCAATACGAAAGATGCTGGAGGCTTACCGCCCATGCTATACTGATTGTGATACCAATCGTACGCATGGTAGTCTACTGTCTGGTCTTTATACCACTGCGGATCCTCACCGTGCAACTTAGCGAGATCCCTATAAATGATATCCAGGAGTGCTTTCTCCGAATCCGTTCCTTTCCCATTGATCAGAGAGCCTAGCCTCAGCGCATCCTGCGTCCAGCAGTAGCTAGCCATCAAGACTCCGTTGGCATCCTCCGGATCCTTGCGACTATAACTTGGATAAACCACGATTCGGCTTGGTCTGTCGGTAGAACTGACGCCACCCACCATAACCGGGCTAGAAGTTTGTTCCCACCATCTCGTCTTGAACTTGATTGCAACCTTGATAGAAGGGCCATATCCTAGGGTTCGGAGCGCTTGATTTTGGGCGTAGTCCAACCCCGCCTGATCCAAGTCCATTGTCCGCATGCAAGAGAGCGGAGCAGTAGCAATAACATGAGAGTACTTTTTGTCTTCGTACTCCTCGTGATCTTGGACACTGATTTTCATCATTGGATTGTCAGAAGTTGGATCATCCATTGCGATCGCCGTCACTCGGCAGTTGTAGCTGATTTTCCCGCTGATTTTCTCGACCATGCGGTCGGTTACTACGGAGGTCCCGCCATCAACACAGGCCCATTTCGTTATAGTCCCCGGAGGATCGTTGGGGCCGGCGGGATAATCGAAGTCGATAGAGTCAATGATTGTCTAGGAGGTGTTAGTTTGGTGGAAATTTGGGCTCAGCACATGCACAATTCATACCTCGGAGAAAGCTAGGTCGTAGGTTAATGTTGAAGTATCCATTGTCTCCATCCAATCGATAACGCTGAACGGATAACTCTTGACTTGGCCGAGGTATGTTCGAGTCGAGTGACTGTCGAATTGCATGAGGTACTCCCACCCTTCCTCAAAATTCTCGACAAGCTTCTTCTTGAAGGGGTCATAGGCTTCAGCTAGGAGTGCCGCAACACCCACTAGTATCTCTCCATTGTCCTTTACATAAGTGAATTCGAGGTATTCGTCTGGAACCTAGCAAATATCAGCCCTACTCCGGTATAAGTCTGGCCTAGAAACTTACAGTCCCTCCGTTACTAACGCTAACATGAAATGGATCCGTTTCATCGTCGGAAACCCCAGAAATAACCTTTTGGCCTACTACAGTTAGAACCTCTTCAATAAGCACCGACAACTAGGTTTCTAGCGCTAACCATTGAACAACTTTATGTTCCCTGGCGCATCCATGATGTATTCGATGACCTTTTCATCATCATAAAGGTCTAACTCTTTAAACAGTTCGAACACGGAATCCATGATTTTGATCTTGGGGAACCTCATAGCACCAACATCATAGTAGTTGTGAAACTTAGGTTTCTCTGGGGTTTCGAAATGGTAGGTGTGAACTCTGCCTCCATGACGGTCCGAGGCTTCAATAATTTCATACGGAATGTCGAAGTCATCAAGAACCATAGCGGTGTACAGTCCCGCTACCCCGGCACCGATAATACATACCGGGAGGTCTTCGAGAGCAGGGCCCGCCGAGTATTTACGCGGAACGGGATTGCGTCCATCCAGCTTTTCTTCCGGGAGGGCAGGCGGGGCTCCAGACGGAGGACGCGTCTGACAGGCAACGATAGCCTTGTTAACCAGATATCTTGCTACAAGAGATCTGAAGGAGAGGTTGTAGGGATTTGTTGCGGGGGTAGTAGCTCTGCACATCGTTGATAGCACTTGACCCGGGTTGGGATAAGGAACAGAGAAAGCTTGAAATCGAAAAGCATGGACAGATATATCCCTTTTTAAAGCTAGGATAACTAATGATTTGATTATAATTTTGACGTGTCGTATTTCGCCCTATTATCACAACGGAGCTCTGCTTTGTGTGCTCAAAACAACGACTGGAGTTCTGTTTATCGGGAAGTAACACTGCATATCCACCATTTCAGGAATTTCTACCAATCGCCTCAATTCCAAAGACTGCAACGGTAACGCAAGATGTCCAAATTCTAGATGCGCCGTCTTTGAATCGATTCGACAGAGGGGTTAGAAGTGCCAGCCAAGGTGGGTGTCAACTGCGCACAACCCTGTTTGGACAAGAGTGCATCATGAATATCACTCGTGCAACCACTTGAGCATATTATCATGTAAACAAATTTGCTCAAAGCTAGCTCGGTTTGTCGGGCGAATTTCGGGATAAATCAAATATCATACCGTGAACAGCGGGGAAATGTGAATGCATATTGGAAGTGGGGTCGTAGGGGGAGGGGTGTCGATGCACAGCGTGTGGGCTTTATAGGTTCAAACCAATTTTAACATTAGCCCTAGTCATCGGTCGACACCATAGATACCAGTATGGTACATACAGCATGGATTAAATCGTGATCTTCCCACTTTAGATATATTTGGGGGTGATAATAAATTCTGTGTATATTATTGTAGGACCCGATGTAAGAATGAAAGGAAGTTGAGATTGAGATGTAACATTCCTGTTCATCCGTGATTGGAATATTGGTTTGGTTTGGTTGCTGTATGATATCATAGAATGTTGCATAAGCTAGCCTCTTACACAGACCCTCATTGTTTTTTAGGTATATGGATGCTTATGTGTGATATACTCCAACGGAAGGGTAACTTTACAATAATTTAGCACTTGCTTCCATAGGTAACTTAACCCGAACATGTTCTTTCGAAGTCCACATGCATCCTCCATTTCCCTCAAGCACCGTTACCCTTCGCTGATGGGTTATCATACTCCAATGCATTCTAACATAGCCGGTTCTGCATTCTCCTGATTACAAGAAGCTTCCAGAGTTCAATCGCATACAAGCTACCCCTTAAACAATGTTCTTGAGAGGCTGGAGCCACTTGGCAGCAGTCAGGTTGTTGCCACAGCTGTTAGGGTGCACCCCATGGTACTGGTAGATGGTCAGGAGACCAGAGTCCTGGCCGGCCGGCCACAGTAACGGGAGATCGGCTAATGCTAATTGCCCGGGGACTGTGAGTCGATAGCACTATCCCAGATGATTGCACCCGAGCTCAGTAGCTGCAGGCTGCAGTCATGGTGTTCATGGGAGGATTTAGGCCACCCATATTATTTCGAGAATAATCGGTTAGATCCCCCAATAGGCATGATTTGAGGAAATAAGTTGAGGCAAGCCAGAATCTTCGCGTTCGATTTTTTTGCTTTGATTTGGTCGATGAGCTTGCTTGGGGTGCTGATAATGGTATCATATCATAGCAGACGCGATGCTATTCCAAACATCGTTTGTTCCGAGATGCATCATGACAGGGTTAGGGTTGGGGGCCGCTGGCCTAGAGCCAACCGGAAATCAGACTCTGGCCCAAGACATTTGTTGCGAGATATCCAGAATGTCGTATCTTCCCTAGCCAATATCTGTTGGGCCTCGCTGCCTCCATTGTGGGAAATACCTATACCGCAGCCTTGGGGAGGCAGTGTACCCCAATTACTGAAGAGTTGCACGCCAGAATCCCTAGGAAAATGAATAGGATTCTTGGGATAATGATTGTTTGACTTGCTAGGCCGTCAGTGACATTGCCCCCCTGGAGGCATGGCCTTTTGTTGCTGCTTCCGCGGGAGCAACAAATGTGCTCAAAACCCCCCGAAAAAAGAGGGCGACTGCGAAGTTACGGGCGAAAGAAAATATCTACCATATTATGCCTAAGGACGGGACTCAAGTTTCAAGCGTTGGCGATCGAGCAAAGGAAATAAAGTCCCCCTAGTGCTCTCCCTTTACGTACTGTTCACCGCCATCGATTCATCAGGCTCAGCTTCACAGAGGGGATTCCCGAAAACATGTAAACTAACCAAATCACCAACTAGATCGGCCCCTCCCTCCCTCCTTGGTGCAATTTGCCGCAAGAAAGGATTACGAAGAACCCAAGTACGCCCCCATCACCTCCCGGATCATCATCCATTTCCGAAATCCCAGCCTCCCAGGTCTTTGTCTGATATACCCTGGGTTCACCCCCCTCGCCAATAAAGTGAGAATTAAATAAGATATCATAGCTCAAAATATACATACCCCAATATATAAGTATAGGGTAATAATCTGTCCTTCAAACAAGCCTCTTCTAGTTCACAATTTGTAATAATGTCCGACTTGCCATCTTATGCCGTGCCGTATTAGTATGTCTAACCCCGGGAGCTTAAACATAGCGCTCTATATTGCTACCTCACCTAGCCCCTCGACGGAAGCGCAGTGCCGGTACAGTACAATGCAGCATCCCACCTATCGTAGCTCCCAAACCCAGTAACTTACTCGTGCCGGCACCACACCACACACACAGGAGCAAACTTTTCCACCACCGCGAACTAGCCTCCTCCCTTCCACCCTTGGGCTACGGGAGCAGGATGCAAGCAGCACTAGTAACCAGCGCAGCAGTCCATTAGCACAGCTTCCTTCCCACAAGCGAGATCTTCAATACCGCTCCTGTAGCAAAAAAAAAAAAAAAAGCGAAAAATCCCACAATTCCACTAAGCTCCCCAAAAACCCATCTTTCTACTATTCTTTTTTTCTCCCCCACCCTTGCTAAATAGCGAGGATGAGATCCTCCCCTGTTATTTTCGGATTTCTATTTCAGTCGTTTGCCCGTCAGCTCTGTGGGAAGGTATCATACTGTACTGTATTCTACCGTGCCGAACGGGTGGGTATTGTGCGTACAGCACCCGTTCTATAAAATCAAGGAAATTACTCTTGAAATATTGTTACAGCCGGTCAATTGGTTCTCTATGATTATATACTTGCATACATACATACATGGCAGTTCGCTGCCGGATAGGATATGGCTATAGATTACTCAGGGCGGGTAGGTATATTTTTCGCTGTATATTATGGATGGGGGGGGTTTCATTGGTTTTGGTCATTGAGCGGATCTCGAAAGATATGAACTTTCCATGCGCTGGTATTGCGTGTTTCGACATGTCGTGTCTATTGGCGTGGTGGGTTGAGAGATGTGCTTTTGTCGGGCGTGTGTAACTTACGGATTCGGTACTGTACCAGTACTATAGGAACAGGCGAGAAATGTTCGCCTTGGACTCTTGGGACCTTGGAGACCCGTGCAAGTGCGGTGGTTCAAATTCAATTTTGTCATAATTGCTTGTGGATTCCCATACATGATGAATAAATAAACCTCTACTCTCCTCCTCTTGATAAAATAGTCTGGCTAAAACTGAATCGCCCGTGAGAAATATTAGGAAAATGCCGGTGTCCGCCGCCGGCAGGGGAGAAACAAAGGCAAGGAAAAGGAACATTATTCACATCATATAAAATCTTTCAGCTCTTCCGGCAGGCTCTCCCCCCCGCCCCCCACCCTAGTACTATATAGTTAATGCTACTCCAACTCAATTGTCCAAAAGTTGCGATAGACACTACCGGATTACCCCACACCAGGTCAGCATCTGGGTACTCTTGCGCGAAACCAAATTAATCCTCTAGGAAGCAGGAATGCCTACCATCTGCCAATACACACCCCGCTTCTTCACTAAACTCGCATGATCCCCCTGCTCCACAATCTTGCCGTCGCTAAGGACGAAAATCACATCTGCTTTTTGGATCGTCGATAATCGCTACACAAGAGTTCGGATATGCCAGAGGTTATATTAGCCTCCACGCAGCAAGACATCATGTAGGTAGGTAGGGGAAATAGGAGTGAGGGGCGTGGGGAGACGAACGTGCGCCACGACTACCATGGTCCTGCCTTCAGCAGCATTTTCAAAGGCCTTTTGCACCATCTTTTCGGACTCCGCATCGAGACTTGCCGTTGCCTCGTCCAAGAGCAGGAGTTTTGGATCACGTATAAGGGCTCGAGCAATTGCTACACGTTGCTTTTGACCGCCGGAAAGACCTATACCTTTCGAGCCGCATATTGTGTTATACCCTATTGTGGCTGTGAGCTTTTATGCTGTTTATGCGGGGAAATTGGGGAAGGAAACCTTCGGGGAGGGAAGCGATGAAATCGTGGATGTAGGCCTCTTTGCATGCTTCGATTACGGCGGATTCGGGTTTGTCCTCGGAGGTTCCTAGTTTAACGTTGTACGATATGGTTCCTGTAGCTGTTAATTTCGAGGATTCACATCGGGAGCCTACTACCGACTAACCTTGATATAGAATTGGCTCTTGAGCAACCAGTGAGACGCAGTTACGATAGCTTTCTATATCGAAATCCGCGATATCTTTCCCGTCTATAAGGACTCTGCCGGCGTCGATATCGTAGAATCTTCACATCTCAGTTAGCCCGCTCCCCACCAACAACAACAGAGAATATCAACCTCTCTAAGATACTGATAAGCGTTGATTTGCCACACCCCGATGCGCCAACGATAGCGGCAAATTGCCCCTTCTCAATCTTTAAGTTCAAGCCTTCAAACAGCAGGCCTCCACGCTCGGGGTATCCAAATGAGACATCCTGGAATTCAATCTCGTAACCCCCTCCTGAATCTCCGTCCATTTCAACCCCGGGATTTGGGTGATTCTCCCGCAGTTTGAGCATGCGTCTGATAGACCTTATAGCGGTAGCAACATCTGCCGCCAAGTTAGCAGTCAACTGAAACCCACTCACTCGACTTATAACTTACTAGGAGTCAGCCCAAAGAAGCTTCCTGCAGCCTCACTCCCCTGAACAACGGTCATATAAACGATGAAGAATTGAAACATCCCGTATTCTCCCTTCGCCATCAGTTTACCGCCGTACCAAAAGCACAAAGCTGTGGCTAATATGGTAAGTGACTCCGAGGCAGAATAGAGTACGGAAGAGTACAAAGTTCTCTTCAGAATCCTTTTAACATGGCCGTCCAACATATCTGCATACCGGCGTCTAATATCCTCCTCCATGACCAGCGATGACACAGTCCTATATGCCCCTACTGCCTCAGTTGCAAAAGCTGCACTGTCTCCGAAAACGTTCATTGTATCCTTAACAAAGCCCATCTCAATTTTTATCCTTACGTATCCAGCAGCAATAAGCAAGGGCACTACGCTGCAAATGCAAACTATGGCCATCTTCCAACCAAGGGCCAGAGACAACGCGGAGCTGCCAGCTATGGTGACCACAGACATGATTCCAAATCCAACCGTCACTCCCAAAAGGTCCTGGATGGCTGAGGGGTCATGACTTGTATGAGAAGTAAGTGCACCCGCAGTGTTCCCATCCTTATCAAAGTAGGAAATCCGTTGGCGAACAATATTATGGAAGTATTCCCTACGATAGCGGTTTCCAGCGTTCTAATTTACAGGTTAATTCACTATAGGAAGTTAAGGGGGGAGGACAATACGTAGGAGATTATTTGAAACATCCATGCCATCAACCACCGACATATCCCAGCTCCAACACCCAGGACCAGATACGCAGCACTCCAGTGATATCCTTGCCGAACGAATGCATCCAAATCCCCGACGAAGGTGAATGTGGCCATAACAAGAGCAAAAAATATCGACCCTATTGGAATGCAAGCACCTGGAACCTAGTCAATACATGCCCCTCAGCGCCATGAAAAGCACATTCTTACCGGCTCCAATAGCGCCAATTACCCCCAGCACGAACAGAATCCAGTGTCTCCGTTGCTCCCATAAGACCTTTGAAATTGCCTTGCATCCCCCCAGTCTTTTGACTTTTTCTCCCGTGCTAGCACCAGCAGGACCCGACACTACCGCTTCCTCAAAGCTTTCGTAGATTAGATCAGGAGCTTCCAACTGAGAACTAGGTTCTGGTTCTTCGCCTAACAGCAATGATTGAGCCTCAATCAACCGCCTGTAAGTCCCTTCCGGGCGAGTCAGAAGTTCTTGATGTGTTCCGGATTCCACGACATTTCCTGAGTCTAATACGACTATATTGTCGGCATTCTTGATTGTGGATAATCTATGTGCAATAAGTATTGTCGTGCGCCCTCTCGAAACTTTGTCGAGAGCATTTTGGACAATCCTCTCATTCTCCGGATCAACAGCGCTAGTAGCTTCATCCAAAATCAGTATCTTAGGATCTGAAACTATGCTGCGTGCTATAGCAATTCGTTGTTTTTGACCTTTTGTCCCACTCTAATGTTAGTGGTATTATTTCAAAGAGAGGGGTATAGGTATTACCCACCCCCAGAAAGCTTAACACCATGAATTCCCACTTCGGTGTCATATCTCTACCCATTGGAAGTATTAGTATCAGCCCCACCTGAATATCAACCCCGGGAATGACTAAACCTTAGGGAATCTATCGATAAACCCAGCGGCATTTGCTTGTTTGCAAGCTTCAATAACCATTCCCCGCTTGACCTCCTCACCCTCATTTTCCCATTGTGTTCCCACAAGCCCTTTGGCGACATTGAAATAAATTGACCCATTGAACAGGTACGGCTCCTGGATAACAAGTCCAATCTGACTTCTCCACCTTCTCAAATTTAAATCCCTGATATCAACATCGCTGATAGTAATGCTCCCTTCTTGGGGATCGTACCACCTTTCCAAGAGTGCTACAATGCTAGACTTACCACAACCCGACTTTCCAACAAGAGCGGTGGTCTTTCCGGCGGGGAACCTCAGAGATATACCCTCTCCAGGCTCCCCTACTGCTGTGTGCTGAGTTCCGCCCAAAACATGAACGCTTTTTCTCTTCCCCGTCTCTGGATAGGAAAACTTCACATTGTGCAATGCCAGGTCTCCAGGTGGAAGAGCATTCGGATTACGCCCGTCGGTAGAAAGTGCGTCAATAACCGGCTTCCGGTCAATCGTTTTGAAGATGAGTACCGAGGATGCGCTCGCTCGGAAGATCGCCGCGATGGGCATAGCCATTCCGAGAATTCCTGCCACCCCAAAAGATATCGCGAAATAAACTCTATGCAAATATTATCAGCACCTTTCACACAGGCTCGCTAAAGGATATTGTAAACCCACGTAACAATAACCCCAGGGTTCTGAATACTACCATCCTTGAATAGGCGTACACCATAAAAAAAGCACAGGGAGTACGAGGCAAATATAAGAAAGTAAATCAATCCTGTCGAACAAGCGTCGACAAAGGCTTTTTTCACCCCAAAGCCTTTGGCAATATCCACGATTTTCTTGTATCGTTCCTCCGCTCTATGATGCGCATTAAGACTCTGTGTTGTGCGGATGCTCGCCAATACCTCCTCGGCCACGTCTGCCGCCCGGGCGTCTTGGGTAACAATCCTCTGTTCAAACTTGACCAAGGCTGGCAAACACAGTATATGTGTCAGAGCAACTGCCGGTAACACCGTGGAGCAAACACCAGCTAGCCTCCACTGCCTTGAAAAAGCAATGGCAAAACCACAGATCATTTGAGCCAGTGCTTGCAAAATCCCTCCTACCTTTTCACCAATGCCTCCCTGAATTAGTGATGTTATGGTAGTGATGCATATGGCGATAGTGCCCGGGCTCCCATTATTGTTGGTAGGTGGGAGAAGGTCTTGTTCCTTCAGAAGGTCCAGTTGGGGTTGTGGAATAGGCTGATCCTCGAGCTTATCGAAGAAAGTGAGATCTTGACTGAAGACTGATCTGAGATAGGCTTGTCGGATCAAAGTTGAGATGCGTGCTGCAGTATATCTAAAACAAACCTTGACATACGACTAGTGTTAGCTGAATCCCAACAACCACTCCCTCCGATTCCACCTGCCATAGAGATATAACCCGTCGCAAATTTGCCCAAAAACAGATAGACAAAGATCAGACTAGCGCGTTCGATCAGAAAAGGACTTGCTCTCTGAAAGGGGGTTGAAAAAAAACTCACGAAAGCGAATTAATCCTTCTCTTAAAATCCTCCACCGTGACGCCCGAGCCCTCCTGAAAGTACTCTGCGAAGTTATCCACAATTTGCCCAAAGAAGACAGTCATAATCGGGCTATCCCATCACTTTATGTCAGCCCGTTTCCGCTCCAGTCATGGGCCGGAAGCTTACAAGACAGCCCCACTAATAACAGAAGCCAAGCAGCCAACAATCTGTAGCCCTCTGTCAAACCCAGTCCCATACTTCATGATCCTCTAATCATCGTCAGAACCTCATTCCACCAAATAGAAGGGATATAGGGCCAATCACCATATAATTCCCAAGCCCGGGCCTCCGACCATTTGACCTCCGGATATTCCCCCCCACCTTTTCCTTTCTTCGCCTTTCGGAGAACCCAAGCCGAGCACCCTCACTTGCCCCTTCCTCTGACCCCCCCGGATTCGTAGAGTCATTAGGCTCAATATTAATTTTTATATCATCGTCCTTAAATTTCTCCTCCTCCATGTTGAACGCACCGGACAGGGGGAAATTTTGTATCCGAAGTGATGGTGAGACAGCGGAGCTCAAATTGGCATTATATAGGAAAAGGTTAAGTCACTCACTTATTTAGTGGCTACGGAGGGACAGAATAGCGGCCTTATACTCAGTTTTCGGTAAGGGTCCCATCATAGCGGACTCTATTCGCTAATCGTGACCGAGATTTTGGTCCAATTTTAACACGTAGTTGAACAGAGGTTTGCGCACAAGCTCCAAAAACAACTTCCGTTATAGCCAACCATCTTCCTGCTCCCGCACCGCTACTACTACAACCCCTCGGTGCAATGCGGTGATGCTCCATGGGAATCCTAAGTAAATCGATTCAACAAAACTCTAGCGAAAGTATGTGTCAGTAAGCAAGTGATAGGCTATGACCAGGATGGCCAGTCACTGCCCCGAACAAAGTGGAGGATACCATACATATTCCTTTTTCCCACTCAGGGCAGGAATAGAAGCCGAAATTATCTTATCCGGTAGGGGGGATCCCCTGTGAAATTATCAAAAATGCCGACGGTGGCTACGCTCCTCTCCCGAGTGAAGTATGGCGGCCCGCTTTACAGTTTCCCCACCAGGTCTAGTTCTGTAGCCTGAAAACGACAGCCAACAGTGCCACTCGTTTCCACACACTAATGACCCAGAACGGAACAACAGAAATGTTCCCTCTCCTCCGGGGAAGGGACTCATCTGCATCGCGGTCATCCTTTAGAACCATGTATTCCGTCTTTTGACCCTTAGTAACATCCGTGGCCACCAAGAGTAGAGTTTCTACAATAAAGCCCAAGTTTTTATCGCTTGACGACAACGTAGAAAAGCTCCCACCGGAAGGAATTTCTACCTTTTCGTTCGTGTTCGCAAATCCTGCCTAGCCATAGAGCAGAAAAATGCAGGTTTCCGAGTGATCAATCATGATTGGTCTGGTCCTGAGGGGTCTTGAGGGCATGTGTATACATTGACACGGATTGAACGGAGCACTAGTGTATGCGTCAACATTGTCTGCGCCTACTGCAGATCCACGATGAAGAGTTCCCGGCACCCGGGCCAGGGAGACACTGTGGGGAAGGGGACTCAAGCGCCGGTGCGGTAGTAAAACCCCAACGCCCAGACCGGACAACCGCGCCCATCAAACCGGTATTCGAGAGCAATCGGCTGAAAAATCATGAAAGGAGGTGATCCCGGAATAGATTGATGTATGTCAGGATAGAAGTTTGATGCAGAAAAATCCCGTTGAGGACAAGCATGTAAATAAAGAAGATAGCGTTGGTATGATAGGAGAAAAGGTGAAAATATCTGCAAGATCGGTTTTCAACCCACTCTTATCAGCGCGAGTGCCTAGCTAAAATAGAAGGCCCGCCACAGAGGTACAGCCACCAGTGGCAATACGGGAATTACTCCCCCTTTGGTGGCCTCAATGATACGAGGATGTTGATACCCAAGGGAAAATCAACCAATTGAGATGTTTGCACCACCACGAGCACCCCACTGCAACTACCGCGCCTTATCAAACACCAATAAGTGAAGAGCAGCACAACCTCCCCATAGCAAAAACGGCCAAAGTGTACTTCGGCAAGATGGGCTCAGGATAAATCAAAAGTAATGGGGAAAAAAATAGGAGTGATTGTTGTTGGAGATGCAGGCAGCAGGATTGGCGGAATATAGGATAGTTGATGAGTTACGATCACTGGCAATCACTCATTTCAAGTACCCAATTCGTGCTTGAGTATGATAGCTATGATATCATAAATCGAACATCCCAAGAAACTAGGTTCTCCAGTGGTATTGAGAGACTATGGGAAGTAAGCATGATTCCTAAAAGCAAGGCGGGGCGAAGTGGCTGTCTACATGTAGAGAAAGATTCGGAAAGAACAACCTTTCAAACGAGTAAATAGGAAATCATTAGGGATCCAGTTTCCTAAACGATACTCAAACCGTAAGAGAAAAATAGCTCAGAATATCTATGACTTCTCTTTGTGTATCCCAGGCCCCGCAAGAAGTGGAAGGGAGATAGATACCTTCAAATACTGGACCATATCGGCAGATATCTGTCAGCATTTTTAAAAGACTGTATTTGCGGGAATTCTCAGTTATCTGTAAGCATCTGAGGACGGTTAGAGGGATCTCCTGATACCTACAGGCATCTGCGGGCATCCTTAGATATCTGCAGGTGTCTTCCTATATATCCGATAACTATTTGGAAAATATTTTCTAGCCACACCGCAGATGTAGAGACCCCGATCGGGGGGAGGAGGGGTCCCAGGTATCCATGACGCCATTAGGCTTTGGCAAAGCCCGGCATACAGAGCTCTCGCCACTCCAACTCTGACCGAGGGGCCAGTCGGACTACATCCACAGATCGTCTGGATTTCTGCATGACTACCGTACTTGTAATACCGGTACTCTGCCTTCCGCTCCTCAGACCCTTTTTGTTGCTTCCTGTTTCTCTGATTTTCAAATGGGCTCAAATCTTGACCGTCTTTTGCCTGCCACCACACCACTCATATGACATGTGACTCTCACCATAACTTGATGGTCAGCTTAGCCATGTATCATACCCCTCTATTCTCTTTCCCTCTGACTTTGTCCTTTGTTTCCTGTTTTCACAGGGCTATTGAAGAAATCTCGGAACTGTGGCTCAATTACTTCTCGTCTTAAGATACCATATTTTCAGAAAGTTATACATTGTCAATGAAGTTTTCCCCACCCTACCCCTCCGGTGATCAATGCCGCTCAAGGCGCTGCGTTACATTCGACAGCATGTCGTACGTCACTAGTAAAAAAATGTCATGTGAGCAGCAAATCGGTATGAGGCAATACCAAACGACAGTTACCGAAACAGAGCATACAGGCTATACCGAAGGTAGTCAGGGTCGATACACAAGTACCAAATCCGTTCCGAGTTCTGAGTGCCACATTCAGTATGAGAATACCAAAAGTATTCCCAATAAATATCTTACTCGAGTAAACTCAAATCCATTCAACACAAACCGCTGTGTACGGAGAACAGGCCATGAACCCAAAAGCCACCTCTACAATACCGTACCTGTACTCGAGCAAACCATACCGTCACTTGTCCCATGTAAAATTTTACACTTCACTCCTAAGACACCCCGGTTTGGCCCTTACACCAGTGCGGCTCCTCTCCTGAACGTCACTTATCCCCTACCAGGTCCATGGTTGGTACGATACCTCTGATTACCGCCCCCACAACCCCCCCCAGATCCCTCAACCTAATCCTCCATCCCTCCGACACTCTAAAAAAATCCTCCGCCACAGCCCCCATTCTCTCCTTCCACTTACCGACACTCGTATCATATCATACCTGCCAAGACGTCAAACTCCATACCGGTATTCCACGGTTCCCCCCCCCTTCAACTTTGCATGATAAGATGTCCTTCGACTGACGCAACACTCAACCCAAACCTAGTACCACAAGGAACTTTTGAGAAAATGGTAAATCCTTTCCGTATGCAAATGCTCTTCTCCTCCTCGATAAATTTCCATATTAATAATATTATCTCCCTTCCCTTCCGAGCGATTTTGGATACCACAATCTGCGGAACTTGTAAAGTAGTATCATATTCTCAAGGAGTCAAGACTCGGATGGATGGCACTTTGATGGTAGGATGAAAAGAAAGAAGGAAAAACAAATCGCAAGTAAGTGTATCTTGGTTCTTAACTGATACGGTATGTCGCTACGAGTCACGAGGTCGAGCTAAAAGTCCCAAATCAGTGTTCATTACTCGAGTAGGGTAGGCGCACTCGCCAAGACCATTGGACAAACTCTTCTCCAATTGCTGGTTCACGCATAACTTACAGTAATAGGTGGTTTAGGCAAGTACGGTACCAGTATGATACCGATATCATGCAAAAACTTCCTACAGCATCCGGAGATCCCCCGGCCGCATCGCTAGTAAATTTATCCCCTCCGATGGCACAGCTACGGAAACCCCCCCTAAGCGACGAATGGTCAACATATTAAGTTACACCAACCTCCTACTCGAGGACATCGACACCAATCCCCTCCGTTACAGTAACGGCCTCTGCTGTGCCGAACAGCATCCCCAACCACTCGCTACAAACCTCCAATCCCCAGATCGCAGCATCGACTAAAGTTAGCGCCCGACTTGGACTACCCCACCTGGGTCACATACAATGCTCGAGTACCGTACGGTACTCGAGTACAGTAGCCCCACGGCACAGATAAGCCCTCCCAGCTAACCCAATCCATTCATTCAGCCAGCAAGCAAGCGACCCGTGCCGCCGCCACCACCCGATATCATATCATTGGCAAGAGCATTTCGCTCGGCACCAAGCATGGCATTGACTACTGTATTCCAGTAGTGCCGCCGCAATCTTTACGAGAAGTGAGGGAAGAAATGGCTGCTTGAGTAAATTACCGTACTGTCTTTGGATTTTCGCATGCCAGCCTCTTACCGCTTACTGTTTGCAGTTTGAAAAACGATGCACTGTCGAAGGAAGGTAATGGGAAAAGTGATACGGTATGGTATCATGCGTCCCCGCCTTTGGTATTGGGGCGGCCGTGGGAGGAGGAAGGAGCACTCGTGATTCTATCAACGGACAAGAAGAGGAGCGAAGGTAAAAGAGACCGGTACGGTAAAGCCCCTCATCGTGGCTTTACACCCTTCCTCGGGTGAGACAGAGGAGGCTTGTTCAGGGCCAATTCTCTTCAGATCAAGCCCAGTGCCACCAGAACGCGACGAACATCCCCTAAGAGAACAACTCGGAATCAAACCCCCCTCCCCCAGAGCCAATGACAACGGTGTACCGGTGCCGACAATATATATATTACGGTACGCAGGCCGGCACGAGACCCAACAAACGGAAATCCGCTACCGCAGCCAAGTCCGGGGCCGAGGATGCGAACTCCGGGTATGTATGCGATGCAGGTATGGTCGGGAGGTTTACGATTAAGAGATGTTTGAATAGGGGAAAACAGTGAAAGGGTTAAA